ACAATGGATCATTGGCCTTGACATCCTTATCTCTTATATCAGAACTAACGATCTTTCTAGAAACATTAAATTGAGGCTTTGGGTTGGAGGAATAAGAAGTCAATTCTGCCTGTGGTGCTGTACTGGGCCCTGCATTTTCTTGGTCACCCCTAATATGTCAGGTGGTGTCACTTTAGCCAAGACAGCCAATGTCTCTTGGGGAGCTGGTTCTGGGACACTGGTGGATTCTGGAACTTACAGCTCCTTGAGTCTCTTAGATAAAACAGTGTGGTATTTCATAAAACCTATGCATATCCTCCTGTTTACTCTAAGTCATAACTAGAGAACCCAATACCTAATTTAGTGTAAATACTGGGCTGTCCAGGGAATCATGAAAAGGAAAACATTCTGTGCCCATCCAGCATACATGCAATTTTTTCTCAAATGTTTTTGAACTGTGGTTGGCTAGATCCCTGAATGTAGAACTCACAGACAGGGAGGTCAGCTGTATTTCTTTCTAGCCCAGCCATCGTGCAGGTGTCTCTGAAAGATTTCCTCTCCCTCAATCAACCTTCTATTGTATTCTGTGGGGAACAAAAACAGCCCTGACCTTGGCTGATGAATACAGTGTGGCCTTGGAGACCTCCTCCTTGAGCAGATGAAGAGTGGCCACACACCCTGCCTTGGAAATGCCCACTTCCGTGAGAGTTCAGCACCAGAACACCAGCCTAGCTCCACAGCCATGTGCTGCTGAACCATCTCCTCTCTCGGAGGAGGAAGCTAAAGGTTAGAGACCTCTATCCCATAATCCAGGTGCTGGAGATAACAAATACTGGCGCAAGATGAGTGGAACTAGTTGCATAATCTAAGTTTATAAATATAAAAACTCCATCTAGTAAAGGATCCCAAAGTGAAATGAATGACCACACAAATAAACACATCACTGTAACTGGGCATATACAAAGCCACATGTCTGCTATAGTGTACCCCTCAAGCTGGAGTACACATAATCTATAGAGTGGATGTGTTTGCAGAGGAGCCTGGACCATGTGGTGCAGGACTGGGAGCCTAAGACAGCTGTCAGTCCCTGGCCCCTCTGCAGCCTCCACCTTGAACCACAGACCTGTGACAGAGCAGCTTCTCTGACCCCACTGGGACAGCCCTGTCCCAAGCTTGCCTCACTGCCCAGGGCCTGAGCTTGGTCTGCCTCTTGCCTGCTTCAGCTGTCCACAGGCCAGACTGGGCCCTTCCATGCCCCGCTTCAGCCTTGCTGAAAAGACACCTTGTTGTGTCCTATACCTTGTGAGGTCTCATGGCCTCATAACAAGCACCCCAGCTTACCCAGCAGGCATAGTGTTTAAACTGAACACTGCCCAAAAGGTCCTTACACTCATCTTCCTCAAGCCCTAGAATTTGAGATCAGCAAATGAGCAATTTTTAGTAAATGCAATAATCTTTTTATCAGTATTGCCCTTGTTTGCAGCCCTTCCTTTGTGTTGTCAAACCGTGTTCATTAACATTCTGCAGTCATCCCTTGAAGATAGCTGTCAAGAGCCTCCAGAGGGTGGATTCTTAGCTGGGATGGGCACTAGATTTTCCTGGAGCTCACGTGGAATATGACATCACCTTCACTCTGAAAGTAAACCAAGAACTGGAGAGGGAAAGGACTTGTTTCAGTCGTCCTGCCAAAGGGCATTTTAGTGGAACAGGACATGCTTTTCCTGAACTAACTAGCTGGAAGCCTGGCAGCTCTCCTCACACTGCAACATGCATTTGAAGTCCCTCGACCACTTGTCAGCCTGTAGATTTTTGACTCAGACGGTCTAGGGCCAGGACTTAGAGTCATTGAAAATGGGTTCCCAGGATGCACCAGTGCTCCAAATGCAGAGTGAACACTTTGCATGGAATAAAAGATGGGCCCATCGTCACAAAAATTGAAGTATTTTGGAATTCATAAGATGTACATTTAAGCCATGTAAATTCTACCATCCAGTGTTTCATTGTTTATGTACATATTTATTTACTACACACCTCTGAATTCAACAATCCAGATGATGTCTGTGTATGTTCCAGTGCAAGAAGGCTGGTCTCTTGCCTTGTCTATATCCTGTGCCAGCAGCAGGCATAACTAATCAATCAGGACATGCTGATGATCCTTCATGCAGTGCTCCAGGGCTCTAGCAATGTCTGAGAGGTAGTGTGGGAAAGAAATCTTGTAGCCAAAGAAGAATCAACTTTGATAGATGGCTAATTTCAGGGCAGGGGCTTTGATATTAAAGTTGGGCTTTTAGAAGCTAAAAGCCAGGAATGTTTCTGAAAGGTACTCCAAAGTATATGTAATTTGTGCTGTAGCATAAATATCCAGGACAAATCTGGAATTGGCACATGAAAGGTCTCCTTTCCCCAGATTTCTGGATCTGCTAAAAGCTCCCTGTGGCATCATTCAGAGAAAAGATGAGGAAGATTCTAGAAGAGCTGAGAAGCTATTTGTGTGGCTGCAGGTTTTTGGCCAAGGCTAAAGAAAGGGACTAAAGTCTACCTCTCTAACAAGAGAGTCTCAGGGGATGTGAGTGGAGTGTCCACCATACACCAGGCAGGGAGTGGCTCTGTCTTAGTCAGGGTCTCACCCCTCAAGGAGGCTCCACCATCTCCTCTTAAGACAAGGAACCAGAGGCCAAGAGAGTTTAAATAATGGGCTGATTCAAGCTGTAGCACAAGTCCTTCCCAGGCTGTGTGCCTGCCAGACTGACTTCCTAAGCCCACACAGAGTCAACATTTGGCATTATTTTTCCTGTTTTGATCTTCAGTGCATTTTCATTAGAAGGCTTGTGATTGTCTTGCTTCGTGGGAGGAATGAGGGTCAGGTGAGTACATAGGGCCCTGCAGAGTAGCCAGGTGGGGCTGGGAGCCAGGACCGACAGAGGAGGGGGCTGTCAGCTTCATCAAAAGTCAGGCTGCCGCAGCGATGTCACCCTGTCTGTGTTTGTTCTGTGGCACTTGAGGTTGAACCAGGGCCTTCACAATGAGCTACATCCAGGGCCTTCATAATGAGCTGCATCTTTTTAATTTTTATTTTGTGAAGGGTCTCTCTGAGTTGCTAAGTTGCCCAAGTTGGACTTGAACTTGTGATCCTCCTCCCTCAACCTCCAAGACTTTTCCCATTCATTTTATTGCAAATATGCACAGCACATCTTACCCGCTTTCAGAAATGGAAGAGGCTCCTAAACATCAGGTGCTGGGCCCAGGTTCATTCTAGCTGAGAACAGCATCCACATCTGTCTGACCTCAAAGCCAGAAACCCTTTTCAAGGTTTATTAAGAAATTACAGAGGTCGGCTCTGACCACCATTCTGCGGGACAGGTCTGCTCTGACCACCAGTTCCCATTGTGTCCAACTGAAGTTTTAATGCAGTGCTGTCCATAAGCTTATGTACTCCTAATTTTCAGTCCAAGCAGGAGTAACAAATGTAACTTCCACTACAAGTGCGAGTTACAGTGTAACCTCCACTACAAATGTAAGTTACAAATGTAACTTACAATTGAGTTTGTATTATAGTATATCCCTGTTATATATTACATCAGTGTTACATATTACATTGCATTCTATGTTGTTACAATTTATCAGTTGAGAGACAAGGGATGGAATATAGTGTACTTGATAAACTGTTCCCAACAATGTACAACAAACTAATATAATTTTTAACTTACATCTGTGACATAAACTGGCAGTGCAAAACCAATGTAAATTGGACAAAGCCAGCGTCCCACAGAACACACCAGTGGCAATTTCCTACTCAATTTGGTCCTATGACATCTAGTGGCCAACAAGATAATTGCAGTGGAATCCCTGGAAACTGAGCAGGTGCAAACGCTGGTAATGCACGGAATACAAGGTGGGAATGGAGCCACAAACATTGAAGCATCTTCGGAATCCAAAAGATGTACATTTAAGCCATGTAAATTCTATCATCCTGTGCTTCATTCTTAATTTTTATACTTATTTACCACTTCAATAGAAAACACACTAAATTCAATCCATTGTCTCTTAATTGATAAACTATGTTTACAATTAATGTAAAACCATATACAATATAACCTAATGTAATGTAATGAAATCTCAATGACTGAAGACAGCATTCCAGAGAGGAAGTGCTCTAGATCACCCGGGAGGGCTGTTTTGGCATTCTCAAAATGCCACATACAAAGCTAGATGGCAATGCACGTAAATGATTTTCCCACCTATTACGCCTTCCACATATGACACAGTGAGGTGGGCTTCACAGAGAGTTCTGGCCACAGGGGAAATGAATAGTCTCTGCCTGATTGCTTTCATATCATAAAGGCATTACTATAAGAGGGTTCCCAGGAAATCTCATAAGAATGCAGATTTTAACAATCTCTTCCTCTGTCTCCACCCCAGCATTCATGTAATGGCAAAACTCCAAGGAAAGACTCTTCCATATGGGTGCTCCTTCATAGGGGGTCCCGCGGAAGGGCAGGGGGAAAGTCTTATTGCTGTGGGATCAGGCTAGATGAACCAGGAATGATTTGCCAAACCTTAACGCTCTCAAATTATTTTTCAAACATTTTAGGTTTGGCAAAATGCATCTTGCTAAGCCCCCTTTCCCGACATTTTTATACCCATGTGTATTTCAAAGGAAATTTAATATGTATGTTTCTGATTCACTTAGGCATAACTCAGCACAACTGTTCAGTGAGAATCACTCCGTGTCCAAGAATCTTCCCGAACCCCTTATTTCATAAGCCCCTTTAAATGATTTTCCTTCTAAACAGGAAGTGTGTTTTTCCCAGAACAAATTGAATTCAAACCCCCAAAAAGATTCAAGTTTGGGTCAAAATTCAGAGTCTTTGAATGTTGAGGAAGGTCAGAAGTTGCACACAATCCCTCGTGTCACTGAGAATGTCCACAATTGAGAAGAAAGTGCTATCAGAAAGACGCTGTGATTATACTGAGTGACATTTTACTCTTTGAAACCAGAAGTCTGGTTGCCTCCATGGACTGCTGCCCTGACCAAGCATCTGCCAGGCCTGGTGGCCAGGGAAGCGTGCAGTCCCAGTGCTCTCTGAGTGCTGGTTCTTTTCCTCAACAGCTAACACTGACAGTAGTTTCCCTGCCCAAGGCCATGGGGGCTTCTCCCCGCTAGGTAGGACCCCAGCATCCAATGAGAGTTAATCAATGAACTATATCTTGGGTTGGGGATGTGGCTCAGAGACATAGCACCTGCCTGGCAAGCTCAGCGTCCTGAGTTTGATTCCCAGTACTTCCCCAAAATACATAAAACAAAAACATAGCATGTTTTCAGCACTTGGTTAAAATCAAAATAGTAGAAGGATGGTAAGACTTCTTTCAATGTGCTGTTCTTTATTTAATTTCCCAGTCAGTTTTGTTTTTTTCTTGTCATAGAGGGGCGACAGGATTTGTTCAGTATTAAGTTTGCCACAAAGAACAAAAAGGAGGTTTTGATAAATCAGGAACCTACTTTTTGCTTATGCAGGAAAAAAAAAACCCAAAGAAGAAAATCTAGAGCTGAAAAATCTGGTTCCAGACCCAGGAAAGACCTAGGCCACTTGCAAGTCTGTTCCAGTTTCCTAGCCATGTAACCATCATTTTGGGATGGCTTTATCATCACACCATAGCTACTGGAGCTCCAGCCCTCTGTCTGTAACTGGGCAGAGGAAGGAAAAGAATCCTCCCCGCTGACTGCCCCACAACAGCTCAAATCAAGACTTTCGCCTGTGTTTCACTCATCACCTCTGTCTATAAGAGGAGCTGGCATATATGTTTTATTAAAGTTAGCTTTGCTTTCAGTAACTTGGGATTCCATGCCCAAGAAAAGAAAAAGAACAAAATTGGAGAATCAGCTGGCAGTCTGCCTGGTCCACCATGAATTTTCCTGGGCTTGTCTCAGCTCCTAACCAAGGATGGTGGACCCTGAGGAAAGTTCTGGGAGCCGTGTGGCCCGTAAGGCTCTGCATGTGTGAGGTCAGCTCCAGACCAGGCACACAGATACTGTGACGTAGTCTCTGTTCCTATATAATCAGTTCTGTTTGTGTCTGCCTGACGTACAAGCACGATTGACCTCAGGTTAGCTTGTGTGCGGAAGCTCGTCCCTCAGGGTCCAAGAGAGCCGGCAGGCCTGAAAGAAAACGGCTGACAGGAACGGCAGCTCGCCCTTTTCTCTCCTGGTTATGTCAGTCGGCTCAGCGTCCTTCTGCCTGGGTAGCTCCCGCCTCTGTTACCATCACTGAGTGCTGCAGCTTGAACTTGAAGTGTCCCCCAGAGCCCGTGTGTCACCAGCCTATGGCACTGCGGTGAAACCTTTAGGAGGTGGGACCAGAAGGAGGGACGGAAGAGGAAAGGAGGTCACTGGGCAGCCTGGCCCCTCTTTCTTCCCTCTTTGCTTCCTGGCTGCCATGAGGCGAGCAGACCTCTGTCCTGTTCCCACCACGACTTTCTGTGCCACCCTAGTCCTGAAGCAAGAGGGCTGAGACCACGGACAGACAGCCCCGAAACCATGAGCTGAAACACAACTGTCTTCCTTCTACATTGAATGCTTTGGGTATTTTGTTACAGTAACAGAGAGCTAGCTGATGGACACACTGGTGAAAACTCAGATCAGCTGATTTTCACACATCCTTTGAGTGAGTATAGTATATAGATTTACCAAAGAGGGGGCTGGTGGAGTCTTCATTTATAGTGAACATGAAAGGTAAGTTGTCCCTCTTTTCAATTTGGGCAACATGGATGGAGCAATTCATATGAAAAGAAGAAACGGCTTCATTGGTACCAGTGTGAAAGTGCTCATGGTAGCCGGGCGTGGTGGCTCACACCTGTAATCCCAGCAGTTGGGAGGCTGAGGCAGGAGGATCGTTGCGAGTTCGAGACCAGCCTGGGCTACAAAGTGAGTTCAAGGCCAGCCTGAACTGCAGAGACCCTGTCTCAAAAAGACAAAAGGAAAAAAGTGCTCATGGTAGAGTTAACCCCAGGGCACTTGTCACCCCTGTTTGGTACCCAAGACAACTGATGTTACATCACCTGCCATGACTCACCAGAGCTGCACTGGCTTCTCTGCATCAAAAACCCACCATTCCCAGAGCAACCTGGCTCTCCAGGAAAGGGTTCAGACCATGGACCTGAGTCCCAAGGCCTGATCTCAACTCCTGGTCACTGGATGAGGTGAGTGCCCTGGTGGAGAGAGGCAGCTTTGGATACTGGGAACTCTAAGGCCTGGATACCCTCAGAGCAGCTCAGCAACCAGACAGGGTAAAGCGCTGCAGCCTACTGTTAACCTCATTGTAATTATTAATCACCTTTGCTAGAGGATCAGCCCCTCCCACTAACGCTTATGGTTTTAAAAATGGAATGGGGTGGAGCTGTCTGTCGGGGAGGTTCTCTGGCTTCTACCTGAGTCTTTCATTCTTGATTATTTTCATTAAGTGTTTATCAAACAAACAGGTCCTCACCGTGCAATGCCTTCGACTTAGATCCTTTGACATGCAAGGAGGCAGGTGGCGGGCAATGTAGCTCTACACCGCTGAAGAAAAAGTAAAAATATTTTTTCCACAATAAAGTCACCATGCGGGCCTTTGCCTGACGGATGCATCCGCAAGCCAGAGAGAAGGGAAGGAAGCTTGCTGCTGACTTCCAAGACAAAAAGAAGGAACCAGCCTGCAGGGAGAATGGGAAAATTAAAAACTGACAACTGCAGTTTATAAAACCCTCCTTCATAACATTATCTTGCTTGAGCCTCCCTACACGCTATGGAGAGGGAAGGAAAGCGGCCAACCCAAGGCCACACAGCTAGCACGGGGGCAGGGCTGTGGTCAGAGAGTGCTTACCTTCACGGCCTACCATGCACGGGCAACTCCCACCCCAGACATCCAGTAATCACCGTGAGCAGAAAATGAGCTCTTCCTCTTCCTCCAACCCCTGTGGTACCGCCTCTGAGGCCAAGACCATGGGTTTGATTCCTAGGAAAGACACAGCTAGGAAAGAGGTTACCAATCCTTTGTACCTGTAAAGCCTTTACTATGCCCTAGTGGCCCTCGTGGGCCCCCTTGGGAAACAAGTGCTCCCATGAATGAATGGGACTGAGGAATGCAACAACCCTCCTCCATTCCCTGCACCACCCTCCCCTACAGAGGCTGCCCTTGGTTCCTCTAGGATGTTGGTGTCTGGGGCAAGCATCTACATGCCTCTGTTTACTCACCTGTAAAATGGGGAGAAGAGCATCCTGCCTCCATACTGCCACCCAGGAACAAGCCAGGGAGCAGAGGAGGAGCCTACCAGCCTGGGCAGGCCTCGAGCCAGGCCCACCCTCCAGACCTGCTCTTGAGAGCTTCCTGCTGTCACAGGGGCTGTGGCTGGGTGTTTCACTCTGATCTCAGACTCCCAGGGTCACAGGGATCACCTGTGGGAGGAGCCCCAGTTGAGTCCCAATGGCCAGATGCCTCAGGGGTGTCTTGGGACTTTTTGTCCAACAAACAGGTTCTTATCCTAGAGAAGAGTTTCAAACCCCAATCCTGCAAGCTTCCACACCATCAATCCAGCAATTATGTAATCACAGATTCCTCTATAAATGTTCAAGCTTTTTTTTTTCTTTTTTAAAAATTCGGGACCAAGTGACATAAGTTCAATCCATCCAGGATCCCAGATAAACTCCTGAACAATAGTCATTTCCAAACTCCTCATGTTGCTGCCGCAGGATGCATGCCCCAGCCCTGTCCCTGGCCCTTGTGCAGAGATGGCCACCCAGAGACCCTGAGACCCTGCAGGAACTCAGCCGTTGGAGCTCAGCATCCAGTCCGGAGTCCTGCTGGAAGGCTTCGGCCCAAAGTCTTCAGGGAGCCACAGAGCCTGTGGGAAGGCAGGGAGCCCAGAAATAGCCAAGAGCAGCTGAGGAAAGAGAAGACCTCACTCTGGTACTCACCAGGGTAAATGAGACTAGCACCAGATCCCCGGTGGATCAGCCCTCACCCAGGGTCCCCTTCCTCAGTCCACCTGTGTGTTACAGCCCAGAACAGCCCGAGACAGGGGGCCAGGTGAGGGTTTCCCCAAAGCTTCAAAGCTTCCCGATGTCCAGGACAGGAGTGATATTGCAACGAGGCAGGTAGCAGGGGACAGGATGAACACTGGGGCCCCTAAAACAGAAGAAGCCCCCAGAGAATGTCATCAGCATGCCATTAGACAGAAAGAGATGGACCGAAGGGGCCGGAGCGAAGCCTACCTGAGAATTAAAGCACTGCTCTTGTGGGGAGGTCACTGTTCCAGCCCCCAAGGAGAGCACCCAGGAGAAACCATTTCTGGCCATCAGATGGGGTCTGGGGCAAATTCATGGAGTTGATGGTGTAGCTTCAAACTAGCAAAATGATAGGTGCCAGACATAGCTCTGCCTCCCTGGAGCTCTGAGCAAAGCACCGGACAGGAAGTTCAACTCTGAAAATACTTAGCAACAAAGATCTCATGTGTTCGCTTGCTTGCTTTCTTTAATTTTTATTAATAGAGTTGTTATTTATGCATTTAAAGAGCAAAATAACTGCATTCCAGGTCGCTGGGCTGGAGGGCTGTGTGCGCCTGTGAAGGTCAGAGGTCCAGAGGTTGCCCTTTAGTTTTGGCCTCCGGTCTTCCGTGTGTGGAGTCCCAGGGCCTCCGGGCTCAAGGTGGTCCCCTCGGCGGGCGGTCCGGCCTGGGCGTCTGTCCTGCCGGTGCGGACCAAGGCCGGGGCACGTGGGCAGCTGCCCGGCGGCGCGGGGCCCCAGGCGAGCGCGCATCCCGCGGTGCTGCGGGGCGCGGGCGGGGTCGGACGTGCAGGAGCTGCAGGGGGCAGAGCAGCAGGTGCCTGGGGGTTCGGACAAAGTCCGGCGCTGCGGACCCGGCGCTCAGCTCCTGCGCCGCCGGGGTCCGCGCCCGGGACTTCCGGGGCACCCGCTGCAGCGCCTCGGGGAGCTGGTCCGAGGGCCAGCTCCGCGGCCGCAAAGGCGCACCGGGTCCCCGCGCGCGGCCGGCCGGGTGGGGGTGGCCCGGCCGCAGGGCGGCGGGCGGGGTGGGGTGGGGTGGGGTGGGGTGGGGTGCGGCGGGCCGGCCCCCTCCCCCTCGCGCCGCCCTCTCTTCCTCCAGCTCTGCAGCCAATTAGCCGCCCCCTCGGGCGGGAGGCGTGGGGCGCTGCATAAAGCTGCGCGGAGCTGTCACCCCGCGAGCCAGGAGCCGCGCACCTCCCGAGCCCAGCCGCCCTCCCGCGGACTCGGGGCCTCGGCCGGCCGGGAGCACCATGGCCACCACCAACGGGGCGCTGGAGAACGGGCAGCCGGACGAGAAGCCCGCCCTGCCGCGCCCCATCCGCAACTTGGAGGTCAAGTTCACCAAGGTGAGGGGCGCCCCTCCTTGCCGACGGCCGGCCGGGGGCGCGGGCCGGCAGGTAGCAGGCCGGGAGTCCTCTGCGCTCCCCGCCCGAGCGTCCCCGCCTGGGCCGGGCCACCCCCAGCTCGTGCCCTTGGAGAGGTGTCCCGGGTGGGAACCTACACCCTGGGCAGGCCCGAAAGCTGCGGGGCCCGGCGCTGCGAGCCTCAAAACCGAGCGGAGCGGGCGGTGCAGCCCTGAGCGGCCCCGACGTGTCCCTGGCGCCGCGGGGTTGAGGGTGGCCGGGTGCGCGCTGCGCACACCCTGGAGGTGGTTTCCAGGGGCGTCGGGAGGATGGGGGTGCCTGAGAGCACCACGAAGGACTTTCGGATCGCAGGCCACTTTGGGGAGCTGCAGTGGGGAAGCGGGTTCTCAGGGCCACCGAGAGAAGCATCTGTCTCCTTCTGTGATCAGCTACACCCGGTTTACCAGCAGAGCTAGGGCTTCCCCTAGGAAGGAACGCCCTGCTGAAACCCAGTGTTTACAGACTACGAATGGTCCCAAGGGCTCTAGACCTGGACCCTGGAAGTCGCGGGTGGTGGGGCCACAGCCTCCGGGCAAGGGCGGCTGCAGCCCGCGGCTGGGTTGCTGTCCTGCTTCTTGGGAGGCTGGAGGACTGGTCGCGGTGACCACCTGCCTGGGGCAGGTGGGAAGAAGACGATGCCTGGGAGCAGGGGCTGAGGAGGCGTCCGGAGGGAGGACACAGCACAGTGGGCAGCTGGGAGCGGGACAGACACTGCTCGGCCACAGGCCTGGCTCCTCCCCACCGCGGCTTCTTGTAGTTTTGCATCTTATCCATAGCGTCCAGCGCCGACTGACTCAAAGTTTAGAAAATTCCCTCTGAGATTTTACTTTCAAAAGTAGCAATTATCTCTCTCAAATAATTTTAATCAAGCGGAGAAAGTGACAGACCACTATGTGTGGCCTTCAGAATGTGGCCTTTTGGCATTTAATCCCCAAAGTTGGCTGTGCTGACACTTAAATTACACGACATTTAAATTCACTGTTTTCAGAGAGCTCTGTAATCAACAGAGGTATTTCACGGGTAAAGACTGGAAATCGTTCTCAATGCAGTTTCCTTAAGAGTATCAGCTTCTGATGGGAAAATGCCAACACAAATTCTGGGAACAGCGGGAATAGGGCCCCCCATGCTAACACTGTGATATGCAGTTGCTGTTGTTTTTGGTGGTGGTACTTAGAGTTGTTTTTAGAGTTTTACAAAACTGCACAGAAGTCAGAAAGTAAAGATATGCCTACCTTTTTATTTTTTATCTTGTTCAGTCCTATCAGAGCCAACTGCCAAAAAATGAAACATTTAGCCCTTTCTCAGCCCTCATAAACTTGTAAATACAGCTGTGCTGGAGCTGGATCTTAGCCGATTCCAGAGCATCGAGTCATGGTGGGACTCTTGCCCCACGTCTTTGCCGGTTGAATAGGACCAAAGATGAGGAAGGGTGCCCTAAATGCCAGGAGCTGGGCATTGGGCTCCTTAGGAGACTCCGGGAAGTGACAGCTCCAACTGCCTGATTGATGCCAGGCCACACGTCCTGCACCCATGGGGGACAAGACCACTGCCTGCCTCAGAGCCTCTGCGGTCCCCTCCTTCCATAGCAGCTGTGCCCACGCAGCTAATGGTGAGCTCCGCATGGTCAGGGAGCTTCTGGCCCAAGAGGGGTTGCTCAGAGAGGAGGGGAAGGAAGCAGAGATACCAGAGCGCGGAGTTGGAGCCCAGGGCAAGGAGTGAGCCGGGTGCAGGGCGTGAGTGGGCAATGCTGTCGTTCAGAAGTGACTCATGATTCTTTCTCCCTCATGGAGGATCAGGTTGAGCCTGGGCCTTGGCTGTGTGATTTCCCTAAGTGATCAGGTTCCAGAACGATGACTTTATCAAAGTCACCCCATTAGGTTTTAACGCCCACCATAGGATTATGTGAAGAGGGTTTTTACTAAGAAGAGCATCCTCCTGGGGTCGCCACACAGATCTTAGAGAACACTGGCCCTTCTATTTGAAGAGCCCTCTTTATAAAGTTTCTCCCAGCAGCAGAGTCTCTCTAAGGTTTTCTGGTTCACCAAAACACTAGTTTTTATAATCTCTTTTAAGAAAAATAAAATTCCCCCAAATCTCCCGAAAACACGGTCCTTTTGAGTTTAGTTAAGGGCTCCACAGTGCAATGGGAATTGCTGGAAACAGAGTCGGCAGGATTCCCTCTGCAACTACGGTCCCTACCTCTCTCCCGAGCACCTGCGGGCTCCATCGTGACCCTCGGGTAAAATGTCGATTGTATCCACAGCTCAGTGCTGTAAAGTTCTCTTCAAACTTGCTCCCATTCAAAGGAAGTAATTCCCTTCTAGACTCTGTCCTTCTTTGGGGTTCAAACCAGTATAGCAACACCATTTGTAGGCCACGTTCACGAGCCTCATCCTTATTTGTGTTTTTGTCTTGTTTTAGTGGAGAGAAAAATCAACAGTAGAAACCACTTACAAGCTGACTTCCCTGTATGGTATAAAGAAAGTAACTTTGCTGAAGCAGAAACATCGTGTACGGGTATACGGTTAGAGTTAAGCAGTGTGAATATTTTTTTTAAGTTACTAGTTAGCATCGTTGTCACGAACAACCAAGTAATTTCTTTTTCTTGCTTTCTTTCTTTTCTTTTTGAGGCGCATGCTTGGAGATGAGGTACAGCAGACATCTGATCACTGCAGTCTGTTTCCACCCCCCGCCCCGCAATATATTCCGTTTTGCACCTTCTCATTTTCCCTCCCCTCTGGAATTGATACCAGGAAGGACTTCGAATCAGCAATTTTCCCTGACAGTCTCTATTATCTAACCCACGAAATTTCATCTTCCTACAAATGGGCCTCTCTTGCCGCTGCTCGTTCTTCTCCATACTAACTTTCCTCCTCTTCTGTGCTTATTAATTTCTCGCTGTGACTGAGTAAATACTTGCTGCACGGCAAAAGTGAACTCTTGGATTTGGTTTCAGCTGGAAGAATAAACCTGTAATTGTAGCCTGGCCTTTTCCTAGTGTACTTCCCTGGGGGCCTGGCCTCGCATGGAAGGCGCTGAGCTTCCACAAGTCGGACAGCCCTGTCCCGCTGGAGCCACCTGCCCAGCCGGAGCCTGTCCTCTGTGTGCGGTCCCCAGAAGGGGCAACCTTCTGAGCTGGCCCGAGAGGGCCCAACAGAAAGCTTGTAACCAAGCCGCCGCCTCGAGCAGACGGTTCCCGTCTCTGGTCTGTCTGTCTGTCTGTCTTCATCCAGGACTGTTGTGGGTGAATCAATCTCATAGTCATTGAACGTAGCCCTGTGGTCACACAATTCATCCTTTAAACGTTAAAAACAGAATTGAATCTACGGGCATCGTGCGTATCAAGATACAGAAATGGAATTGGATGAGGTGGTTCTCTCCTTAGAAACGATGGCCAGTGCTGTCCTGGACAGAATGCTCTGTGTCACTTCTCCCACGGGCCTCTGCCTGAGCTGGGAGGGGCTGAGACATGAGGCCCCCAGAGGTATAGCAGCAGCTTTCGGCCCCCTCTCTGGACCACCAGAACATGCTTTGGGTATTACCTACCATTCTGTGCCTCTTTGCTTCCCCAAGTCCGTCTCTTTAACGTCATGCTTTGCAGGCAGTTAGAACTTAGAGCCAACTAAAGAGTTAGTAGTACGTACATTGCAGAGCACGGGCTTTCTAAATTCGTTTTGGTTTGTTCACGGTATCTGTTGTTTTTAAACATTCTCATTCACAGCTGTAAGTCTGGCTAATGGAGGCTCTCAGAAAATCGATTTTTGTGGGTTATTTCTTGGGTTCTCAATGGCGATCTGCTTTATCACTCAAAGTAAATTGAAAACTTTCCTAACCCAGATATTTGTGTTCCAACACTGGCTTTTATTAACTACATATTACCATGATCACCCATATGTTGCTAATCATAATTTTTTTAAGTTTTAAATGATTTTGGGTTTATTATGACAGCTTGGGTACTCATTCTGATCTGCTCCCAGTCGGCCACTTGGTCAGGTGACCCTGAGCGTCCTGACTGCCTCCAGGCTCATCTGTGCAACGTCCCAGGGGAGCAGAGAGCAGTGGGGAAGCCGGCGGACAAGACGTTACCTAAGGTCCTTAGCATGTTGCAGTGATATGATTTTGATTTAAACCTAATTCGTTACACTTCCTTTCTCGGTTAGATATTTATCAACAATGACTGGCATGAATCCAAGAGTGGAAAAAAGTTCCCCACATATAACCCTTCAACTCTGGAGAAAATATGTGAAGTCGAAGAAGGAGATAAGGTGGGTCCTCCCCCCGCCCCGTCCAAGTAATTCAATTATAGATAATTGAATGATAAGGAAACAGTGCGGCTTAGCCATGAGTTAGATCGGGCCCACCCTCAGGTAGGGCCTGGATAACCTCTCCAGCCGGTCGTCACCATGTGCAGCTCAGACGCAGGGCCCAGCGTGGATCAATTACAGATGGTCTTCTGCAAAGAGTCACCACCTTTGATAGATGTTTCCCCATCTCAGAGGATGACCTCAGCTGTCTGCGTCACACAGCGAAAGGAAAGGTTTTTATCAATTATTTGAACTTGAAGGCATTAAAGAATCTTTCCAGAAAGCATTTCCGGCTGGTGTGTTTCACCAAATGCAGCTTTCTGGCAAGAGACACTTTAAAAGAAATACTTGAGGGGAAAAAAAAGACGTGCTTCCCCAGTGATATGCAGTCACATCCCATACCCGGAAGATTTGTTTTCTGTTAGACACTTACATGACCGTGGAGAGCTCTAGGCTGTACGTTGCTATTGGCTGGTGCAGAGTCTGTGTCATTTAGAGAAGCTAAGGGGCTTCCGCTTATGTCCTTTTCATTTCAAGTACATTTCAAGTACATTTCAAGTCCGTGAAGCATATCTTGAATGGAAGAGCCATTGAAGGAAAGATTAAAGGTTAAAGGTTAAGTTCTTCTATAGAAAGAAACATGAATAATTCCTCACTGTCTGAGTGCTGGAGAGATTCATGTTCCTGAGACAGGGGTCTCTTTATGTTTTCAAGGCTGGCCTGGAAATTTGGGCTCAAGCAATCCTCCAGTCTCCTGAGAAGCTGGAGCTACTGGGGCTACAGGTGGTGGGTGGATGTCCCTCATCCGTGCCTCGATGGTGCTGAAATGTGTGGGGTGCCATACCTGTGGGTAAAGCATCCTCCCACCTGTGACAGTTTTGTGATCCGTGTGCGGTACCTGGCAGCACACCTTCAGTCCTCGCCCATGTGGCTCCTTATGCCGAGCTCTGTTGACCAAGGAAGGAGGAGAGAGGAGCACGGGGGCACAGTGAGGGCCTGGTAGGGAGGGCATGATACCGAATGGGCAGGATTCCCGCTGAACGGCCTCCAGGGTCCCCAAACGGGTGTCGGAGAGAACACCAAGACCTTGCTCCAGACTCTGGTTTTTCACTTATTTGGGGAACTGCTCTGAGCACCTGGAGGCGGAAGCCACCCTGTCCCCTGCAGCCAGAGAAGTCCTGGCCTCCACCCCAGCGCCCCAAACAAGATATCCAGTGTTCCTGCACCTCCCTGACCAAAGCTTTGTGCCCCTCACTCAACAAGCTGGAAGGTAGAGTTTTGGTGCAGTCCATGCCTGTCTCCTGCATCCACGCCTGCCACACCACCCTAGCAGGGCAGCCTTTGGGATGAGCCACTGCCTGACTGCAAACAGACGCTGGAAGCCTATTTTTGTGACAAGAGGGACAAGTGATGCCCCTCTGAATAGATCTCACTTTAAGAAGAAAGCTCAGGGCTGGGGTGCAGCTTGAGCCAAGTTCTCGCTCTACCTCTAGTACAACAAGAAAATAAAAAAACAAAAAAGGTTCTGTTGCAATTATTCTGTCCTTTTCTATAGAACAGTGTGGCACTTCTGCCCCCACGGGGTGTGTCAGGCAGAACAAAAGCCTCCTGGCCACCATGTCCCTTCCCAGCCTGCAGACTTTTCCAGTGTGCTCAATTCCTTAGTCTACAGACGCCCGAGTCCCCCACTGTCAGCCCAGCCCACAGTCCTCAGCTCAAGTGCAGATGCCAAGAGAGACATTTCCCAGCTAGTCTGTGACTTCAGACAAACTAGTCAGCACGTGGGAAGGCTTCTCACTCTGTGTTACCTAGAAAAGCACGTAAGGTTAGTGACTTTTCATTTGGAAAGGCTCTTACAATCAGGAGGCTGACTCTTGACCATTATGGAAATCTTGAAGAGAACTTAGATATAAAGAAAAAAGTCACTCAAAAGCTCCCAGCCATGGAGGTGATTTATAAACTCACTGCTGCTGCAGCTAGTCTGCCACTAGACAGAGGCACGATGCTGCCACCCTCTGTAGCAAAGCCGTCCCTAATTCAGTCTCATTCACAGGTGACACACACTCACTGTCTCTCTCTCTGTCATTTTGGTGATTCAGCCCGATGTGGACAAAGCCGTGGAGGCTGCTCAAGCTGCCTTCCAGAGGGGATCCCCGTGGCGCAGGCTGGACGCCCTGGGCCGTGGCCGGCTGCTGCATCAGCTGGCTGACCTCATGGAGAGGGACCGCACCATCCTGGCCGTGAGTATGGGCTCCTGGGGCAGGTGCAGGTGGGGAGGGCCTCCCAGGCCAGTCCTCACAGGCTGCAGGAGACAAGCTGGAGAGTGGCGGCTTGGGCGGCCGTGGATCTGTGGGGCTTTGGAGGTGTGTGGTGGGTGTTGCCAGGCTTCATCTTTGTTTTGAAGTCCGACTTTGATTCCTGCCTGTTCAACTTCTTAACTGCAAAAGCTGCCTGAGGAAGCTGAGTTGCACCAGTAGCTGCCAGACTTGGGACACTCACAGACAGTCCCTAACGGGCTGGACAGTATCCTGCCTGCATCTGGCACTTCTTCTTTTTCCCACATCAACTTTCTTTTCAATTTCCATTTAACCTCATCCTACATACAATCATCCCACCTCCCTGAAGTTTTCCTGTCCATGGGTTTAGTTATCCCCAGTGAACCATGCCTGGAAAATTCCAGAAATAAGCAATTCTTAAATTTTATTACAGTACATTGTTATATAGTTCTAGCCTATTATTATTACTGTCATTAGCCCTGAGTTATAAGTTAACTTATAAGTTTTATCATGAGTATGTATGCATAGGAAAAAATATACAACGTATTGATTACAGTTCCCTGGGTTTATTTCTTACGTAAACCATCACTAATAATCTAAATGTGTGAGGGCAATCCATTTAAAACCTTCAGCACAGCCCCTGGCATCTATTAGTAACCAATCTAGAAGTAATCTAGCAGGGGATACCTGTCTTCAGTATTAGTGGTCATCACTGCGATGCTCTGTGGAGCCTGGGCTCCAAGCCCCGCTGCATGGCTCACTGGCCAGTAATATTTAGGTCTCTTAATTTCTTAGCTGTGAAAAGTAGATGTTGATGCAGTCCGGCCCCTCACACCGGATTGCTCCCATGAGACAGGACTGACAGGCCTGAGTAAGGAGTAAACGTGTTACTGAAGTAGGTGACCAAAGGGCATCTTGGAGCTACTGGAGGCCTTGGGATCTCTTGCAACCAACACATCCAGGCCTTGAATAGCCAAGACTTGTTTTTAAAATTTGTTCCAAATGCTGAGACCAAATATGCAGGAGAAGAAATCTCCTTTTTGGCCTTTGATTTGGAAAACAGGTTTCTCTGATGTAGGAAACCAGAAGTGGAATGACCACCCCTTTAAAGGCCAGTACTGGCCAGAACCCCGACCTTGCTTTTGTCCCATGCGGGTAGAAGCAGTCCTGGTTCTGTTTCTGGGAGGTGCAGAAACAACTCCCACCTCTCCTTCCTGCCTCTCTTCATCCCTCCATTCTTTCCTTCCTTCGGCCTCCCTCTCTCCTCTGTCCCTCTGTCCCTCCCTTCCTAGGGCCAGGTGGGGACATTCACCCAAATCCCGATGCAGGTATTTCCTTCCCAGGGTAGCTCTGCTCTCTACAGACAGCCACTGGTTTCTTCCCGCACCCAAAAGCCAGTCTCAACTCTCAAGCTGCCAAACTGGCTTTTTCAAAAACATTTCTGTTTTCCTCAGCATGAGCTCATCAGTCTGCAATGTCCGTGTGGCCTAATAGCTGGCTCAGAGGATGTGCCCTGGGCACCCCTCCCCACCCTGTCCTCAAGTGTCAGTATCGTCCTGGGCGCAGCGGCTGCAAGGCCACCTTCCCCTTCAGCCTGCTCCATTGTCCTAGTATGACTGTGTTTTGATAGCACATAGAGGGGCGTTGGAGAAACTCTGGACGCTACCCAGTCAAATCACTTCTGTTATTGGGACCAGTCGCCCACAAGAAATAAAACCTAGCTCTTTGCCACAACATGAAAGAGACAAGAGAATGACTGACAAATATGGTTTTAAAACTCTGACCACATCCTAGAAAGGTGTCCCTCACACTTCACCTTGATATGGTTTCCTGCCTTTGCAAGCAGCGAAGTCCTTTGTTCCACCGTACTCTTGCGGGTTCAGTGGTTGGATGGAGCTGGTGTTTGTTATTTGCATGCACATATGGCAGGATCCAGTGGCCCCTTTCTCTCCTTTGCAGAGCTGCTCTGGGCCCAGGCTCTAGCTCTCTGGGTGTTCATTTTGGGAGCTCCCTGTGGCCCCTCCTCTTCAGTGCCATTGCTGGGCTCCCTGGCTGTAAGCCTGAGATGCTGGCTGCACAGGAGTTGTGCGGCCAGTGCTTTTCCATCCTTCTTTAGCATCTGCGAGTTGGCCTGGATTAATTTTTCAGGAGGCATATTTTTCTCTTAAAATCATAAAGGAAATAATGTTGGGAGCGGCTCTGCTCTACCAGTAGCTGAATCATGACGATTGGTGTAGGCTGAAGAGGTGACTGTTCTGATCAGCAGCAAACACTTGATTTCCCAGATTCAGTCCTGTGTATGCATTCACCTGTGGCTTTTTTAAAAAAGAATGTTCTGTCTGAAACTACTGCAACCTAGATTTTCCTAGGATAAATTCCATAGAAACAGCCTTAAAAAATGATGTTATCATTCCAGTGAGCAACTTTGGCCAAATTGATAATTTTTTTAAAAAATCACTTAATGCTTGTTAACATGCGTGACCTGTAATATTTACTTTCTCCTCTGAGAAATGAGGAAACTGAGGCCCAAGTATATAACTTGACCACATTCAGCCAGCCAGAAGTAGAAAGGCAGAGCTGAAAGCCAATAACTGACTTTAACGCCTGAATTTATCTCCAATGCTACATCTCAGTCCCCTTCCTTGTCCTGTCCCAGAAAAGAGCTAACCATAAACTCCTGGTCCATGGCAGACACTGGCCAAAAGAGCCAAGTCTTGGAGACCTTTTGGTACCATTTGCAATCGCTAGGCTTCTCCTGGGAAAATGAAAGTCGCACTTGAAAGGTCTATCAATAGATGCCAACGGCACAATTTATTGGCTGTCACCTTGAACTGATTTGTGCCCTGAGTGATAACTGCTGTGGGTGGAACACAGGCCCAGGACCCAGACCAGTCTTGTCTTCTCTGGCAGCTCACAGCCCTGTCTCCTTGAGCCTGAAGAGAAAAGTGCAACCGTATGAATACCTGCAAGCACCCAGGGCCACGCTGTGCTTGGTGCTCATGTTTTTTGACTCCTTTAACCCTCACAGCTGCCCTGCGAGTGAGGTCCCATTATTAGTCTCATTTTACAGATTTGGGACCTGAGGTGAGGTGGAGGGTGGGTTGGGGGATTCAGGAACATATCCAGGCCACTGAGCCAGCGTTTATCAGAAGCAGTTGCCTCCTAAGAAGAGAGATCTTGGCTCAGCCCTGTAGCAGAGATCAGACAGAAGATGCCAAAGCCTCTCAAGCCTTCCAAGATGCAGGTACCCTGGGGCAACCCCCTAAAGGGTCCTCACTGTGAAAGCCAGTCACTTTAAGGTGAGAATCTGCACCTTCAAGTGGGAACTGAGATGTCCAGCTCAGGATGGGACCTCAGGGATGCTGGGTCAGAGCCCTGTCTAGGACAAGGCCCTTCCTTCCTTTATACATCATAATCTCACTCCGTTGAGCTTCAGCAAGAATCCAGCCCTGGGCTATGGGGCAGGGTGGCCACTTCCTGCAGAGCCCGATGACTGGTGGATTCAGTGCTGGTTTCCACTGGAGCTGCCTGTCAGAGGGACAAAGGAGTTCTCTTTCACCCGGGCTGGAAGTAGAAAAGAATCCCTGCTATTGATCGCTGCTGCTGGCCTGGAGAACCACCTCGCTTCACAGCTAGTCAGTGTGTTGCGCTCCCAGCTCCACTCCACATCCGGCTGTACAGTGTACTAGGAAAAGGTCACGTCATTGTGCTGATGGCATGACCTTCCTGGGCTGTCACCCTCTCCACAGCCATCCTCATCAGCTAAGCAGAGAGGGAAAAGCCAGTGCCTCGCTTTCTTTTGTTAATGAAGCTACTTTCTCTCCAGCTCCCTGGAATGCACGAGCCCAGGTGTCCAGGTCACAAGCTGAGGCCCCTGTGCTCTGGACAGAAGACCCCAATGCCCACGTGGATTGCTTCCCACCAAAGCCTCAAAGGAGCCTCGCAGGCAGATGCAGCCCCGGCTGCAGCGCAGCCCCTTGCCAGTGGTTTGGCAATAAAAGTGATCCTTGCCAAGCTGGGGCAGTTGGACTTGAGCTTATCGTTGTGCTTTCTGAAGTGACGTCATTGTGTTAGGACTACACCCCCCCACCCCATTTAACAACCTCCCAGAAAAAGGGAAAGGAAGCCACATGTGTAACAGGTGTCATCTTGTCCTTGTAGACTCTGGAGACGATGGATACTGGGAAGCCCTTCCTCCATGCCTTTTTCATCGACCTGGAGGGCTGCATTAAGACCTTCAGATATTTTGCAGGGTGGGCAGACAAAATCCAGGGCAGGACCATCCCCACAGGTAAGCCAAGACAGGGCAGACTGTCTCCTCCTTTGGGGTCTCTTTGGAGCTCTGTCCCCTCCTTCGGCGGGGCCTTTTGCTCTATTGCATCCTTACTGGTCCCTCCCTCCCTTAATAGCTCTGTGCTGAGTCTTCTAAGCAATTGATGCATCTTGGGTTGGGGGTATGCTGAGCATCAAGCCTAGAGCCCCTTGCATGCTAGGCAAGTGCTCCTCCACTGAGCTACTCCCTCAACCCCCTTTAACTCCCTATGAAACTCGATTGGAAATCACTTTTGTGTAATAGACTAATTATATGGAGCTGGCACCCTTGCGGGTTTCAGAGTTTCTATCCTTTAAATTCTTCACACACACTGATTAAATGAGTGTGTCCATCCCTGGCATGTCACCTCTCTTTCAGATGACAATGTTGTGTGTTTCACCAGGCACGAGCCCATCGGGGTGTGTGGGGCCATTACTCCAGTAAGTACAGCAGCTTTTTTTTTTTTTTTTTTTTTGTCTGAGACAAGGTCTCGCTATGCAGTTCAGGCTGGCCTTAAGCTCACTTTGTAGCCCAGGCTGTTCTTGAACTCTCAACGATCCTCCTGCCTCAGCCTCCCAAGTGCTGAGATTACAGATGTGTGCCACCACACTTAGTTTAAGTACAGCAGCTCTTCCTGATAGATCCCAGATAGGTAGCAGCCTGCTGCCCTGCATTCTTTGGAACCAGTTTCTGGTATGTTTGGCCCATAGCACCATTGTTGACTGAGGAAGTGTTTGGTGGCGTGGAACTTGGTGCTTGCGGGCTCCTAAGGTGTTTTATGCCCCACTGCTGTTCTAAGACACTGGCTCTAGAGAGGCACCAGCAGACATGGTGGATTCCAGGTGGAAAGATCAGGAATGGACAAGATCCACTGAGAGCCAGTCTCTCGGCTTCGCCTTGAAGGATAGCAAGACTTGCTCATCAGGAAGAAGGGTTTCCCAAGCAGCAGGCATGTCCCAAGTGTAGGGATGACTGGCCCACTTGGAAGGGAACCACAGGGATGCTGCTGGGGCTAGAGCTTGGGTGGGACAAGCACATGTGTCAGGTGACCAGGGCCAGCTTCGGCACCCTTGGCTGCCAAGGAGGGGTGGGGACTTTAGTCACCAAATCACCAAACCGTTGATGCCCGTAGGAGCTGGGCATTGCAACAGCCCACCTATGTGGGAAGCCCCAGGCCACTGCTGTGGTGGCTGGGCAGGGAACAGGGGAGACACTTGGTGGCATCAGAAAGTGAACTGAAAAAATGCTTCAAGGAGGCCAGGGGGGCAGCACACATTTTGGAGGGGTTCTAGTAGTATATATACAGCAATCCTCTTTCAACGCTGCCAATTAGCGTTTCCCGGCATGCAGTTTAGCAAGCACTGGGCAGGAGTGCTGTCCCATCATTGTCCACTCCTAAATTACTCCTTCAATCCCAAATCTAGATGAGCAGCACACACCCTCCACAGAGGCATTCCTGGGCAGCTGGGACGGGGGAGAGGGTGTGGGCAGGCCCTCAGGGCTCCTCCCTGTGCTCTGTCCCAGTGGAACTTCCCCCTGCTGATGCTGGCATGGAAGCTGGCACCCGCGCTGTGCTGTGGGAACACCGTGGTCCTGAAGCCTGCAGAGCAGACTCCCCTCACCGCGCTTTATCTCGGCTCACTGATCAAAGAGGTAAGACATCCAGTAAGGAAATATGTGCTCCTGATAACATTCCCACTCTGGGAACCGGGTCACCCTCACAGGACCGGGCAGTGGCAGCCTGGCAGCCGGCTCCTGCAGAGTGGGAAGGGAATGACGCCTGTTTTGCTTGGCGGCTGTGCTGTCTTCCTCCTGATTGTGGTCACCGAGCTGGAAGAAACGCCATTCCTCCCAGTGGTCCTAATGAGAACACATCGCTCTTATTATGGGCTCAAATTTATGGTTTAGGACTCACTGTTTTGTCTAGATGATCTGCAGGGGGTGACCCAAGGGAAAGCCAAATGTTCAGAAGGTCCTTGGGACCTGCACTGGTGAGGTCTGAAATGCTCCTTTTTCCTTCAGTAGCCATGGCAGTGCCAGCCTCTGATCAGCGCCTGTGGGCAGATCCCACCCCCACCCCAAGTAGCCACAACTCAGGGAAACAGTGGCCCAAAGGGACACCTCCTCCCAGACACACCTGGCGGCATATTTTCGTCATTTGATCACCAACTTGTATGTAGCAAAGATTTAGAAAACAAACAAAAAAAAAAGAAACGTAGGAAAAAAAGGACAGGAGAAAAGATCCATTTATTTATTTCACTTCTCATTGGGGTTAACACCCAGATCAAGATAGGACGGCCAGCGATCAAGCGGTGTTCACCTCTCTTGGACTGGTGACGTAGAACTCAGCTGTCAAGGTGATGGGGCCGGAAGGTTCTCACCTCACAGCTGTTAAAAGTTAGTGCAAGGAAATCAAAATCTTGGCTTTTTAAAATAACATGTTTTTAGTAAGATGCAGGGCCCCTTGGGAAGATGTCTTTCACCTCATTTGATTTGTGGTGTCCTTGGTGAAGGAGGAGGCCTTGTACGTGCAAACATGGATGTGAGTGTGAAAGAACCGGTGTGCTCCTCTGTGGTGTGAACCAAGATGAGCAAGCCAAGGATGCAGAGGGGATGGATGATCTCTGGTCCCATTCTGGACATAAAAGAGACAGAGTGAATAATGAGCGCTATAGCTCCAGAAGGTGCTTCAACCCTGAGAGGTGCTATCGTCTCCTTCCCTTATATGCACACTCTCGTATACTGTCTCACATATACACACCCATGTACACACACACACCCATAGTCTACAGCCACATGCCCATACATGTTACCTACTCATGCGTGCATGCATACATATGCGCACACTGCTTTCACACACACATTTACAGACACGCACACACCCCTATGTGCTCACTCACTTGCACACTTACACAACACACGTACACTGAAAGGTGCTACACAAGGTCCACCGCCACCTTGTGGTCTCATTGCACATTTGCTCAGAGCCAGGCAAGATGGGAAGCCCTTTCGGGAGGGGGAAGCTGTGCTGCAGACTCAGCCTGCACCCGGGCAGTGGCACTCGGGCAGCTCCTGGGGTGCTGGCCGCCAAGGGCGCCTGCGTCCTGGGGTTTCCCTGTAGGGGTGCTGTGCTCCCAGCATGCCAAGACTGTGCCTTCTCTTCCACTGATGCCATCCTCATGGCCCCCAGGTTGGCTTCCCTCCCGGTGTGGTGAACATCGTACCAGGATTTGGGCCCACGGTGGGAGCAGCGATTTCTTCTCACCCTCAGATCAACAAGATAGCCTTCACTGGGTCCACAGAGGTGAGTCCCCAAGCTAAGGGCAAAACTGGGCACCTAGTCCAGACCCCCAGACATCTCCGTGGAGAAGCTCAAATGTGACTTGTTTTTCTAAGTGTGGCCATGTTTTCACACATAAGGTTGGTTAAAAGTCATTGATCTAGTTTCCAAACTAAGTAAATAATAGAACTCAGAAGCCTTGGACTCAGAAGACTGAGAGACACATAAAAATGAGAGACATCCAGAAGACAGACATCAGCATTAAGGCTCAGAGAGAGCTGATCAACAGAGAAACCAAGGTGTCAGGTGTGCAGCCCTTCGTGTGCAACACGCTCTTACAAATCAGTGAGAAGAGCTAAATGGGATGATGAGCAGCAGGAAACCCAGAGAACACGAGTGCATTATGCTCAGTAAATTTAGTCGATTAAATGGTGATCACCGACAGTCAGAGAAATGCAAGTTCAAATAAAAATCAGACACTTTTTATCCCTTAATTTGGTAAAAACAGAAATGGTATTATTATCATGATATTATTAAGCATACAGGATCTCACTGACCTGTTCCTGAGGTGGGAGGTGAGATTTAGTAGTATTGATCAAAAATTTCAGGGTGGAAAACTTTTGATTCAGCAATTGCATTTCTAAGACACTACTGCATTTGGAGAAATATTCCCATGCATGTTCAAGGGCATATTTTCAAGTGTGTCATATCTAACCTGTGAATTGTTTTATGGTAATTATGTAGACAAGGAAAAATGCCTATGATCTACAATATGATCCCAGTAATTAAAGTGATGTATGTGTGTGTGCATGTGTGTGTATGTGTGGCTGCACATGGGCATGCTTGCCTACCTACAGATATTCTCCGAAAGGATTCCCAAGAAATCTCCAAGTCCCTCCTCTTTGGTCCACCCAGGAGCCCACAGCCCTTTCCTACAGTCCTGACAGAGGGTGCTGCCTCTTTGGCAGCCAGGGTTGTCATCTTTATAGGTTATAACCAGACTGAGTCCTAATTTAAAGCCACCAGGTCATGGGTACAGCATTAAAACAGTCAGCACGCTCAGTGTGCCGACTGCGTCAGATACTCCACCTCTGGCTTCAGGATAGGGCTCTGACTCCTGGTCTCCAGTGGCTTCTCAGTCTTTCTCTGTCATCTGACCCAGTAGCAAACTTTTCTCTGCCCCTGCCAAGCTTCCCTGCAGACGTCCTGAGCTCTCTCTAGGTGACCATGGGTCCTGCTGGGTGGCGTCCTCCTTACTTGCAACCAACGTCAAGAAAGTAGCCTCTATGGCCCTGAGGACTGCTCAGCCGCAGGCATATCCATCCTGGGGTGCTTATGGGGTGCTGTGCCTGGGCCCCCCTGCTGCCTATGGCTGTAAGCGTGCAGCTCAACTCCCCATGCATCATGAGCGTGGAGCAGGCTGGTTTGCTGTAGAACTCTCCCTGGGGACAAACATTGCCACTGTGGACCCATTCCAGACCTCACCGAGGACACCAGCCATAAGCTCACAGAATTTAGTCTTCTTTTTGATGGTGCTGAGGAGAGAACCCAGGGCCTTATGCATGCAGCCCAGCCCACGCTTCCTTGTGTGTAGAGCCCCTGATTTCTTTTTATGTTTTATTTTGAGACAGGGTCTGTCTAGGCTGGGTTCAAACTTGTGGTCTTCCTGCCTCAGCCTCTGAGGGTGCTGGGATTACAGGCACCTGGTTTACTGGTTGCCCAGGGTAAACGAGCAGAGCCCAGGGCCAGCCCTGCTCTCCAGCAGTAGGTAGAGGTCGGCGAAGCAGATGGTGAGGTGTCCGCTCATGGGAGGCTGAGTGCTGCTGTTTGCTCAGTTACCATAGCACACTCCAGAGTTTTCCAGCCCACTTCCAGAGGTGGCTCCTTCTCATCTGAAATTCACTGCCCTTGCTGCTTCCCTGACTCTGGAAGATTCCCTCGGATTGCACCAGAGCCACACAGAACCCCCTCTCCCACTGGGCTGCAGGATTTCAGCTGTTACTAGCAAGACTGGAAGAGCAGAGCCACCTCTCAGGGCCTAGAGCCTTTTTCTCTGGGCAGTGGGCAAAGCTCATTGGGGTTGTGCCCCAGCAGGTGAACAGACAGCTGTGCCCATGGGGCAATCTCTGGGTCCCCGGGGGCCCTCACCCACTCCTAGAAGCAGATCATTTAAGACTGTGGACTTTAGGATTCATGGTCTGCTTTGCAAGCAGGTGCTGCTGGGACCAGGAAGTGAATCTAGCTAGTGTCAAGGCCTGGGGCACCTCACAGAGGCAGGTGGCCCTGGCTAGTCTAAGAACAATCCCTTCACTGGGCCTGTTTCTCCTCCTGAAGGTTGGAAAGCTGGTTAAAGAAGCCGCATCTCGGAGCAATCTGAAGAGGGTGACGCTGGAGCTCGGGGGGAAGAACCCTTGCATCGTGTGCGCTGATGCTGACCGTGAGTCTCTGTCCAGCCTGCGCGTGGCCTGGCCTTTAGGGCACCTGTAGATCTCTGCCCACTTTCTGGACCCATTCAGATCCATTTGAGAGAGAGACATGTGTGCACAGACAGTCACACAGTAGGACTGTCTTCTGTCTTAGGTCAGCCTGCCCGCCACTCTACAGTCGTGCCAGGCAGGGGAGAACAGAGCACTGGCTTTGCGGCTGGAAAAGGCATGGCATAGGTGGCAGCTGAGGAGCTGCCTGTTTCCACCCCTGCCCAATTGGAGCCAGGGTCACAAGGAGCCAGGAGGCTCAGTTTCTCCTCCAGGCTCCCCTCTTGGGTATGGGTGAGGAGAACAAAGGGAAGGTGGTGTGGGGGACATTTATTGTTCTAAGTTCCAGTCAGTGCAGTTCTAGGTTCTCCAGAGAACAGTGACAGTGGGAATTGAACAGGAGTTGTTTCTTCTTTCTTTGTCTTGGTCTGACAGTGGTGCTGACCCTTAAAAAAGGAAGTAAAAGAAGCCATAGCTGGAGGTCTGTGTGCTGTCTCTCCCTGTGCCACCTGTTGCCTGGGAAAGCCACTGCCCAGAAGCTTAGGGACAGTGTATGTCTTGCTAACACTTCATGACACACTAGGGCAGTAGATGCTGTCCTTGGCTGCCACGTCCACAGTGGCTATAAAGGACCGTGCTGGGCATTTGTTCACCTGTGACACGGTCAGCTATCAAGAGGTGTGACTTCCCCAGTAGCTCCAAGCACCTTTCCTTTAAAAATCAGCCTGTCCCACCAGTCCACAGCCCCAGAAATACCTGTCTCAGAGAACAAAGCCTTCCAGTTGACACTCAGATCAGGCTAGAATCTCAAATATACCAGAAAAAAAACAGTGATCCTGGTGAGACTTCTCACTTAGGTGTAAATGACTGATATTAGATCCTTTCCCTGAAGCTGGTTTTCAATAGGGGATAGATGGGGCGAAGAAACAAGCTCCAGGGAGGGCATGAAGACCGGCTGTCCTCCTCCTGCCTGGTGGCTGCTCCCTGGTGGAAGTGTCATTAGTGTTGCTAATGGTTTCTGGGGCCAAGTGAGGCTGTTCTGGGCGTAGCCCTGCTGTGACCCTCACTGGGAGCCTCTGGTTCCCACACCAAGGACTCCAGTTGTGCACTGAGGCCCCCACTTGCACCTCAGCTCATCCTCTTGTTCCCACAAAGAGGAAAACCATAGCTAAAGCCCGACGTGCACCTTGGTTGGGGGTGGCTTTACAGGACTCAAGTAAACACGTTGTGCAGCTATCTTGTCTTCCTCCTCCGGGCAGTGCCAGGCCACACCATTAAACCCTGATGTAATACCAGGGGTAGCTGCCACCTTTCTCCTGCCCCTTCAGCCACCACTCTGACTCCATCAGGGTGCAAAAGTGAATCTGCTGTCTTCGAGGAGGACTAGGGACCTTGTGACAGTGATGTCCTGCTGCAGAACACACACACACACACACACACACACAGCCCTACTTAGGAGCAGCATCCTCCTCAAAGCGGAGGGCAGAGTCCCTCGGAGCTGCCTGGTGAGCTCAGATGGGTCACCTTCCTGTGCTCACAGTCAGGGCTCCGTGTAGAAACTGCTTTCCTTGAGGAAGTGACAGTGTAGGAGGAGCTGAGAAGCCAGGCAGGCACAGAGCACCAGAAACCCGGACAGACAGCCGTGTCTGTCACTCAGCGTCTCCCCAAAGATGGGACTCATTGGTCCACCAGCTGGTTTTCAGGAGCTGATTTTAATTCAGCGCCAGCTCTGAATTCAGTCAGGTACAATGCCTTTCACCATCCTGAGTCATAGGTGGTCCTTCCTAAGGTCCTCTTCCACTCAAGGTGGAAAAGTTTGACTTCCTTAAAAATTCTTACCAAGTACATGTGTACTTACCAAAAGGTTTTTCCGTTTGTTTTTGTTTTTTGGGTTTTCTGGACTCACCCGCATACTTACGGTCAGAAGACTTACTGAACTCCCAACTTGGTGAACCTGAAAATCCTTTTTCCCATCCTCCCTCTTTGTGAAATGCTGAGAACAAAATTAATTTCTGAAATGCCGCCGTCCTGGGGCCTGTTTTCTTGTGCAGGCAATTAGAATCGCAGCTGTCGCCAAGCCTGCTCTAACAACTTAATCGCTTCCTCTTGCCTCGCCCGCACCCCTGCCCCCTCCAGTGGACTTGGCAGTCGAGTGTGCCCACCGGGGAGTGTTCTTCAACCAAGGCCAGTGCTGCACAGCTGCGTCCAGGGTGTTCGTGGAGGAGCAAGTCTACCCCGAGTTCGTCAGGCGCAGCGTGGAGTACGCCAAGCAGCGGCCGGTGGGAGACCCCTTCGATGTGGAGACCGAGCAGGGGCCCCAGGTAACAAGCTACCCACCCTCTGTGCCTCTGCTGCGGTGATGCCTCAAGGGTCGCTCTCAAAGGAAAGACTGCTGACAGATGCGGCCCTTCAGGCCTTTGTTTAGAAGCTGATCGGATGTCAGCGGAGTTACAGGAGGCACAAGCCCTGGGGAGAAGGAGCTGTCCCCAGGGCGTGAGGTGGTCAGTGTGCTGTCCTCCTCCTGAGCCTCAGACAGCTACCAACAGCAGTCTGACTGTGAGGCCCCCAAGCCCAGTGTGGGTGATGACACGAGATGACCCTCAAAAACCAAAGAATCCGACAGGGAGAGCTGTAGGGATCGATGGGTTTTGGGCAGTGCCACCGATCTCTGGAGACCAGTTTGGGCGGCCAAGGATGGGTGAAAATGACCGTAACCATGAGGCTTAATAACCCTTTAAAAGGGCACATCTTGTATCACTTGCTTGCTAATTATGAAGTGCACAGATGGATAAATATTTAAAAGAGAACAGCCTGACCATCCCATGCATTATGGAAATGGAGCTCGCTCGGCAGCAATCCACGACTTTTAGCCAAAGTCCTGCCCTAGCCCTGAAGTTGCAAAACACATGTCCGTGACTTACCGCTGGCATCTGTTGGGAAGCTCCCTGCTTGCCTCCTGCATTTGCACCACGTGTTTACCCCGGAGGCTGTGGGTCTGAGCTCACATGGGGCTCTGTGGCTTTGTAGAAGTCATACATTCCATCCACCTCTGTTCCTCACCTGGAAAGTGGGACTAACAGAAAAATTTTATGACGATTGCATAGTCTGTAGGACATACACAATACAGGACAGTTTTCTGTGCTTTTTCAAGGGAGAGGAATATTAAATGACAGCCATCTGACATAGGTATGATGAGTGTCTGTGGGACTTAAGGCTGTGTTCCAGAGTTTTTGCTTAGTCATCTGTGGTGACACACTGGCTGGGGAAGAAGGGATGAGGGGTGCTTTTATGGCCTCAGTTTCCCCTCCCCAGCCCCAGCTCAAATGCTTTGCACCTCTAATGCTGTGTGATTATGGGAGAGAAGAAGCTTCGTTTCTGGTCCCAAACTTGGCAGCCAGTGATGCAGAGTAGTCACTGGCCTTGGTTGGATTTCAGATCTGAATGCAAACATGACCACAAGTCACTGTTGAATCCACCATGATTGTCACGGCTAATCCAGAATCAGTGGGGCATATGGGATGTGATCCCCATCCTAAGGACCCCTCTCTCCCCTGTCATTATTTGGAAGTCCTTCCAAGGCTCCAGTCTTGACGTGTGAAGCCAGACACATGAAGCTGTCCCCAGAGCAGCTGCGAGGAGAGCGGGTGTTGATTTCATCTGTACTTTCATGCCGCAGTTCAAAGTCCTTTGAAAGCTCACTTAAGCTGTCTAACCTCAGCATATTATTTTAGGATGTTGTTGGGGGTTTTTTTCTTCTTCCTCCCAGAGTGCTTTTTCATCTATGGTAATAAGATTTTACTCTGAGAGGACTTACAGCTGTCTAAATAGTCTGTCTGCCTCATGCCTGTAAAAGAGTGGGCTGATCTAGATCGGCGTTCGCTGCTGGGAGCTGCTTGCTGGACGGCTCCAGAGTCATTCAGGTTTACTGGGCAACTGAGCCACAAGGCACACACACATGACACGGGCCACCTGGCCAGGACAGGACCTGGAGGTGTCCTCCCTGTAGAGAGAACTGAGAGCAGCAATGGTCCCGCCGTTTAGGGCCATTTTTTTCTGGTGTTGTGCCCTTTCTGGGTCATCTCACTTCCCAGCAGGTCCGTCTTCTCTGAGAGGCACCAGCTGATATTTCGTGGATGATTGTTAGACTTGAACACTGTGTTCACAGGGACTCGCCAGGGAGAGGAGCTCAGATGTGCAGGGTTTCCATGCACAGATGAGGTCTTCCAGGCGGAACAGGGTCGGCAGCGGTCAGGATTTGTGGTTTGAGGAAGCCCCTTGAGGGACCTGTGGGAGGAGGAAGGAGCCTCTGCAAGCTCTGGAACTTTCAATCCGGGATTCAGTTAACGAAGAGAAAAGTTGAGAGGACCCTGAGCTACCACTGGCTGCATTTGCACTTGTGATTTTCAAGTGGAGTACATGGACAGGGGGCTACATCCTCCTCCTGTGAAAGGACCCTCCCACCCTTCCACGTGCCCTGTCTACACACCTGGTCTCACCCCTCCCTCCCACGGCTCCATGTTCTTAGTTTCTGATGCATCTTTCTAGAATTTCTTTTGTGTCTACAAGCTAACCTGTTATATATCCTTATTTCTTCCTGATTTTTATGCAAAACATACCATAATGGCTCTACTGTTTTTCACCTTGTTTACTTTCCTTAACAGGAACTTAAAGAGCTTTCTATACCTGTCTGTGGATACCTGTTTTGTTCTTTTTCACATGCACATACAATTCTGTGTCAGAAGTCACCAAGACTTAAATAATATCTTCCAAAGAATACGTGGGCATGTGCAATCACACACAATGCTCCAGACTAGGTGATCTCTCTCTCTCTCTCTCTCTCTCTCTCTCTCTCTCTCTCTCTAAGAAATCCATGGGAAAGACTCAAAGTAGAGTTTCCAAGGGGAAACACATTTGTAGTTTCTGTAAGAATTGCCAGATTACATTCTGTGCAGCAGTGGTGTCCCCACTTTTTTGACACCAGAGAGTTTCATGGAAGACAGTTTTCCACAGCTGAAGTTCAGGAAGGAGGAAGGGAGTGACTGTGAGGACTGAAGGAGAGTTCACAGTGGGGACTGGACGGAGCTCCAGTGAGAATCAAGTATCACTGCCCACCTCACAGGAGGCGGGGCTCAGGCAGAGAGTGGCTGTGAGCACAGACAGGGCTCAGCTCACCCGCTGACCGCTCACCTCCTGCTTCTAACAGGCCATAGCATGGTAGTGGACAATGGCCACTGGTTAGGGATGCCTGTCATAGAGGATGAACCAATTCATACCATGTTCCTATCAGCAGTGTGCAGGTTGGCTGTTTCTCCTGTATTATCAACAGAATATCAATTCTTGTTCATCTGAGAGCTAAAACTGGTATCATTTAATTGTAATATACAGTCTGCCTTCCAAAGAGTGTAAGATAGAACACATTATCTTATGTTTAAAAGACATTTGTGTTTCTTTTTCAATCAAGTGGATATTTGCTTTGCATAATTTCTTCGTATATTTTTGGTCACTTTTCTTGTCTTTCTAAGATGCTCTATATACATGCTGCAAAGATTAGTTTTCCATGATATGATTTGCTAATATTTTCCAGTTTGCTATTTTTCCCTGTGACTGCTTCTGATGATTTTGCTGTCTGATTACTTCTTTGTTTCCATCTTCTGGAGATTGAAGCACTCGCCTCACGCATGTGAGCAAGTGTTCTACCACTGAGCTGTATCCCCAGCTCTTTTTTAAAAACACATACTCAAATTTATTAATCTTTTCTCTTTTTTGGCTTCTGTACTTTGAGTCATAGAGAAGACAAGTTTATAAGATCAGTGTCCCACATGAAGGAATTTTGTGGTTTCATTTGTCACGGTTACATCTTTGATCTGTTTAGACTTTTCCTGGAATAAGATATGAGGTATGATTGGTTAACACTGGACCCGTGTATCATAGGTTGGTCAGTTATGCGTGGTTTGGACCCTCCCCTTCCCCTTCCCCTTCCCCTGCTCCTCAGGAATACATAGTCATCCAAATGTACCATTGGATTTGCTTACTATTTTTTTCACATGATTAAAATAAAAACAGCACTCCTATCTAAAAGTTTCAGCAGTAAATCTCATTAAAGCTCTGCCTCTTCCAGCCCTAGAGGAGGAGCATCGTAAACAGGGCCATGATAAAGGACAGAGGTCCCGTGAATTTTAGGAGGAAGGCTGGTAGAGGGGCCAAAAGATCACTGTACTCACTGAGCATCTCCCAGAGGGGCGCTCTTTTAACAACTTGTTCGAGCAAGGTAGCAAAGATGGAGCCTTTCTGATGAGCTGATCCCCCGCCAGCTGAGGCACAGTCTCTCACCCACCTTGAAGTTCACTCCACTGTTTCCAGGGGTGCTGAGAAAGGTGACCAGCTTCTCACTCACTTCCCCTCAACACTATCAATGGAGAATTCCAGTAACAGTTCTTCTAATCCATGGAGCCAGGGTATAGGCTGCAGGTAAAGTACACGACACTCAGAATCAAATTTCAGATAGACAAAGATGGCATTTGTAGCACAAAACGTATCTCAAAGAGTGTTTGGGATGTACTTATGCTCCAAATCATGTCATTTTTCTGAGATTTGAGGCTAGGTAGGCATCCTGTGTCTTTATTTGCCAAGTCCAACTACCCTAGCAGGGTACAAAGAACTGAGAGAGCAAAGAGTGTGACCCTTTCAGACCTCAGTGCACCTTGGACTGGCTTCTCAGCAAGGAAAGTGGAATCAGACACAGGAATGAACACCAGTCCTGGAGAGAGGATGCATAATTTATCTTCCCAAGTCTTTCCTGCTCAGAGGAGCCCAGGTCTGTGCATCCGAGGAATTGCTGCCTGCAAGACGCACTTATTCCGTGATTTAGGACTAGGCAGGAACACACAAGGCAGGGTGACTGATGATGCGAAGGCTGCTGGGACTGTAACCTGGCAGCTACTCGCACGGGAAATTGGCAATAATTCCTGCAATGTTTTGCAGATCGATCAAAAGCAGTTTGACAAAATCCTTGAGCTGATTGAGAGTGGGAAGAAGGAAGGGGCCAAGCTGGAATGTGGAGGCTCCGCCATGGAAGACAGGGGACTCTTCATCAAACCCACTGTCTTCTCAGAAGTTACTGACAACATGAGGATTGCCAAGGAGGAGGTAGGTGTGGCTGCAGCCTGGGGCCCTGCTCTCCTCCAGGGAACCCAGAACTCTTTGTGGGCTGAGCTTTCCTTTTCTATGTAGCATTTCCCTTAACATCTGAGGTCCTGAGGAACACCATCTTGTCACAGGCCCCTGGCAAACCCCAAGGACTGCACAGAGTTCATTTAAGATGTAGTCTCCATTCATTTCTCCTGGTCTCCTAGGGGCAAGATTCCCTCCCCTGAGTTCATCAGGCAACGGGGGCATGGAGAGGTGTTGTCCCCTGTGGGGGGTTCACAGCCAAGGCTGCTTTAGTCCCCCCAGACTGACCTTAGAAGGGAAATACTCAAGAATCATGTCCCAGCTAGAATCCTCATTGTGTTTTCCATCATGGGTGTCCTTGAGAATGACGGAGGTGAAGGAGACCTCATGAGAGTATAAATTTCCCTTTGTCTTTCAATTCTGGGAGGCAGATGGAAGCTGGTTCCTGCACAGCATTTGTAAGATCAGAGCCCACGGCTGTTAGATCCTGGGAGGTGCACCAATGAGGATGCTCTCTGAAGGGTTTCCATAGTGACTCCCAGGGGTGGGTGTGGGACACTGTTCACACAATCTGCCCCCCAGCAAAGGAAAGGCAGGGTATCACATCCTCACTGGTGCAAAGCACAGGGAGTCAGAGCACAGGGTTCTACAGCCCTGCCTACGAGCACCTTCTGAGATAACTTTCCACAGAGTCACTCCAAAGATAGGCCGGATGGGTCACCCCCAAGGCCCTCAGCCTGGAGTTCTTAGAAACCCTGATGACCATGAGGCCTGGGAAACACAATGTATATCTTAGTGTGATTTTAAATTTTTTGATCCTTTTTAATCCTTTCCTTCAAATTTCCACCATCACACAGCTAAAAAAAACCTTTGGTGATCTCTCTTGCCCTGTCATTGTCACCATGGCCGTGTGGGCTCTGGGTGTATGTAAAAGGCACAAGACCAAAGAAACCCCTGCCCAGAGCCTGCATTTCCACCCAACATACTTCTCACTGCTGTTCTCACAATTAATCACAGATTTTTGGACCAGTGCAGCCAATACTGAAGTTTAAAAACATCGAAGAAGTTATAAAAAGAGCAAATAGCACAGACTATGGACTCACAGCAGCCGTGTTCACAAAAAACCTTGACAAAGCCCTGAAGCTGGCTTCTGCCCTGGAGTCCGGCACAGTCTGGTGAGTAGTGTGTTGATTCAGCTCCGACTTGCAGCCTCACAGTCTTGCAGGGACACAGTTTTTACCCGGATGTTACATGCCACCTGCTAGTGCAGCGCTTTGCTGAGTCCTCACGACCACCTTCAGCAACAAGTGCGCTTATGGGGTTGAGCACCTCACTTCCCAGAGGCAAAAACTGAGACACAGAAGCTGAGTAACTTGCCTAGATCCTCATCCCACTGTGTCCACAAGGATTGATTCCAAGGTCCCTGCAGATTTCCAAATTCATCGATTCTCGAGGCCCTTAAGTGAGATGTCCTAGTACATGCATATAACCTGGTCACGTGTACTTTAGCTATCTTTAGATGATTTACAATACCTACAACATTATGTATGCTGTGTAAATAGCTGCTATATTTTACTGTTCAGGGAATGATGACAAGGGATACATGTTCAGCACAGACGCAATCATTTTTCCAAATGTGTTCTACCAAGGTTGGTTAAAACTGAGGACCCAGAGCCTTGGTGTTAAGGGGGCGGCTGTGTGTGGCCGAGCAGTCTCCGAGCTGCAAGGTCCCATCTAAATTCGATTCTGGTTCCTGTTCTAAAATCAGTCCACGCCCAGCTGCACAGTATAGATGCAAATCCCCGTCCCACCAGGAATTCTGCAGATGGCGTCTTGTTTTAAAGATGAGCGAATTGAGGCTCAGAGAAGGCCAATGATAAGTGCAGGGTCACATGGTGGAGGACACAGAACTCTGAGGACAGGTTTGTGTCACTTCAAGGCTAATTTCTATTCCCCGTGCGTAATATTTTCTCTTGTTTTTTTCTTGCCTTCTCATCCCATTACCATCTTAATGAAAAGCTCTAGGCCAGTATATTCAAGTTTTAGTTTCTGGCAAGAAAAACGAGAAGGCAGAAGCTAAGAGCACCCTGTATTTTAATTACAGTGGTACCTCGGTTCCCAAACTCAAATCTTTCCACAATTCTGGTCACAGATTTGTATTAAATTTTATAAAAAGGACATATGTTAGGCAGCACTGTGCATCGGTGTTAACACCGGGAACCCCACACATCAGCTGGATCTTTTCCAGGTAACCATGAGCGTATTTTCACTGGGTTTTTTTTTTTTTTTTTTTCTCTAGGATCAACTGCTACAATGCTCTGTACGCACAGGCTCCGTTCGGCGGCTTTAAAATGTCGGGAAATGGCCGAGAGCTGTAAGTGTTTCGGTCCCTCCCAGCCTGAGCTGGACTTTGTAAGAGGTACACTGTGTTTGCAGTGGCGATTAGAGCTCCTGCCCAACCATTCCCCTCCTCTCTGCTTGGGCCGGCTCTGCCGTGTCACAAAGGCTGGTGGCCTTTCCCTCCGTGGTTCCTCCGGATCCCTCCTCTCCTCCGTCCTCTTTCATCTACAGCTTCCCCACCCTCATCTTCAGCTCTGGGCCCTGCCCAGCACCCACACACTAGGGATCTTTGATTTGGGCTGGAGAATGGAGGGTACAGCACCGACAAGGTGCACCTCTTGCCAGAGGTAGGGTGTCACTGCCCAATCAGTCTCCACCCGCAGCAGGGAAACAGACTGACTCGGAGCATGCAGTGGGCACGCGAGCTTCTTTCTGGATGCTTCTTCAGGAGGCATAAGGCAGCTCCTTCTGCTGGCACTCTGTGGTCCCATCATGTAGGGGACCACACGGACAGGTGCCTTGCATCTGGCCCAGGCCCAGCACTGGACAGAGCATCCTTGGGCCAGAGACACTGTGCTTTTCCAGCTGGACCCTGGTTTCTCCCCCATGTCCTTCTTGCTGCTCAGGCTTTTATGAGCCTTGGTGGACAAACATCTTGCAGGCTTAACATTCCCAGAGAGCCATCTGTGACAATACCCCGGGGCTGTACTTGGGATGTTTCTGAGGACTGTCGTTTTTCCCTTGTTTAAACAGTGTGTCATGCATAGAGGAACGCGCTACCCTGTACTCATTTGCATGTCTTCTAGTGGGAACAGACTTAAACCTTTCCCTCTGTGTGGGCCTTGCTGGGAACTTCAGGCTCCACTTCCAGATTCTTAAAGATGTTATAAGGTTGTAAGGAAGACTGGGTGTCCTCCACCCCTAAGCAGTTGCTCCTGGCCAGTCTGCAGGTCCAGCCTGCACGCACCTCCCTCCTTTCTTTCCAGTCCATCCCTGACCCACAGCAGATGCCCAAGAGCCTTCTGTACATTAGACTGACTGGTGTCTCTGTGACTGATTTCCCTTCCTGGGAACTTCAGTAATTGCATGGCCTTGAAAACTCTTTGCTGAGGCTGAAGCCTCTTTCCTCCCCCTGGTGGCCTGTTTAGATTTGTATTTGCATCTTTTAGAGCCTTTGCTCCATTACCTCTTAGACCTGCCTGCCCTCCAGCTCCTCCAGCAGCATCTGCTGACCTGGAGGCCAGCAGGCTCTGTGAGAGCCTCCACAGGATAGTTCACGACCTTCTGTGACAGCCATTAACGGGGGACCGCTACTGTCCAACGAACAAACAGCCTAGGGAGCTTGTGACTGACAGCTGAAATGACACTGCCCCATGCCCCCACCAACAGCACAGGGTCTTGCTGGACAGAGGTCACTTTTGGAAGCCACCTGGATTGTTATAAGAATGATAACAGAATCTCCAAACATCATACAAAGGAAAAGTGATAACTGTTAGATATCTGATGTGCCGTTTGTGTTCTCTAAAAACTGAAGACTGAATTCTAGAAACAGTGGAGGTTAAGAGTAGGAAGACATTTATTGAGAGAACAGAAAGCTCCTGTCAAAGGAACAGGAGGGGTCCCAAGTGGAATGCCACTGTATAGAAAAATTTTACGGAACAAAACCCTCATGGGAACAATGTGGGTTACAGCTACGATCAACCAATAAGATTACAAGTATAGTTGCTTAGGTGATACTGATCTAATGGGGAAGCAAGTCATGCAGAGAGCAGGCATGGGAGGATAAGGAACTGCTCAAGCAGGCGATGGGTCTGGGGTCTTGGTCAGTGACTGGGGCGAGGGATGCCTTTCTCGACCAGGTGTTGTCATGTGCTCACCCCGTGAGGTGTGTGTAGGTTTGGTTCTTTTATTGTTATCTTGAGGCCTGGCTCCCCACTGCTGTGTCTCCAGTGAGTTTTCCTCTTTTGTCTTGACTCCCTCGAGCGCCCAGCACTGTCTGACTGCTCATAATATTTCTACCTAACTTAGCTGTCTGTAACAGAATGGAGCCCCCAGGCCATGTGTGGTCATTTTTTTCCTCTGATCTCCTGCCTTCAGTCAGTGCAGTCACCGGGGCTGGGGAACCCAGGACCACACAGTTCTGATCCCAGAGACCAGGCATGGCAGTGGGATCCCAGTCCCAAAGCAAATGCTTGGGATGCAGAAGCTGCAGAAGGCATGTGGGGTCTTCGGATTCCTGATTTGCATAGGCTCCCACTGGCGACCCTCACCCCAGCCTCCCTTCCCACCTCCCCCAGCAGTGCCTGCACCCTCAGCATCCCTTACCTGACTCGGAGCGGGGCTGGGTAAGAATCCACTATACACAGTCCATGTTTTATCCTGCTGGTTAGCCACCAGCAGACTTTTTGAAATGTCTGTTTTTAAAACTTTTGGCGTGTATTTTCTCCAGACTTTCTATAAAGCATTTAAAAATAATTCATAAGGCAACTGCCTTAAAGACCAATTTCCATTTCCTGTTGTTTCAAATTGCTGTCTTCATCATGCGAGAAGTTCCGCTTTGGGCTACTGGAGCACCACTAGGTGGATTCCGTGGATTTCCCCGCCCCTGGGGCACCCACCCATGGCCCCTTTGGGACCTGCTTCTAGGACCAACCTCCCTTCCTCTAGGACACTTTTCTTCCTAGTTCTTTGTTTTGCTTTGTAACAAAAGACAGTAAGCAATATATCTACACAGTGGAGCAGTCCATTTGTTAGAGGTAACCAGTGGTCATCCAGTTTTCAGTCATTCACTCACTTGGCAAATATTTATTGGACATCTTTGATGCTGAAGACATGATTAGGCTTTGGGCACACAGCAGTGAGCAGCACAGTTGCCCGTTTCTGTCCCCTACATCTTCTTTTTTCCCCCCAGCAGTAGGCACTGAACTCCGGCTCTTGTATTGAGCTCCCTCTCCAGCCCTCCAACCCCCTTTTGAGACAGGGTCTCACTGAGTGGCCCAGGCTGGACTTAAATTTGTGATTCAGCTCTCTCATGCTCCCAGACCACTAGGATTGAAGGCACGTGCCACCATGCCCAGCTCCCCTGATGTTTTGATTTACTGAGAGAAGGTCTGGGGTCACAGTTGGTCTTCATTGTCAAAGGGAGATGCTGCCTTGGGGTGCATAAGAACAGTAGAATTTGAACTAAGACAACTATGGAAAAAGAAAGAAGGGTAACCCTGGAGTTATTTCATACAAGAGTGATTTTAATTCTGGACTTACTAGTTATGTACTAATTCAACGGGATTTCAATGTCCTGTTTGCTAGTTTTATTAAGTTAAACACTAGCGACTTTACAATGCAACATTATATTTTATTTTTAAAGCTTCTGTGCATTTTTTCTACATATGATAGGTATAGGCAAGTGTGTTCTTTTCTGTTTTTTAAGTAAAGTCAAACAGACTTTTTTCTCAGAAGAATGGGTTGTAGAAATCTTTTTTTTTTTTAGTCATCTCTTATAATCCAAGTTTGTTACTTTCCAGCATTTTTGGCTGTTATAAACCATGCTGATGTACTTTCCTGTGTATAATTCTTTATGTATTTGTGGGAGATTGTTTTCAGAGTAAATTCCTAGACTTGAATAATCTGCCACATGAAAAATAGGCTCACCACTCTTTTGGTTTATGTATCTTTAATCGTGAGAGATTGAGTACTCTTTTATACTTACTAGAATTTGTATTCTTTTTTTCTGCAAGCTGACTATGGCCTTTATTAATTTTCAATCTGTCTGCTTGTGTTCTCCCCATGGGTTTTAAGAACTCTTCGTGCACTGAGGGAGACAGCACTCTTTATTACATAGGGCTATAAATTATTTTTAGCTTGTCTCTTGGAGTGCTACAAAAGTTGAATTTAGTATTCTGCTTATGGCTTTGCTGTTTTGTGTAACGTCTAGAAAAGGTCACAAAATAATTGTGTCATTATTATCATGAGGTCCTATACCATATGTTTTAGGAAACCATCTAAAAACCTCAGTGACACATTATTAATAAAATAAGACTATTACTTTCCACCATTCACTTTTACTTAACACCCCAGAGGTGTTCCATATGAATTGTCTCTAACTGTTCTAAATGGAAGGAGGAGATGATTTTCCCATGTCTTGCATGAGGAAACTGAGGCTCTGGGAAGACGAAAACCTTGACAAACCTACATAGTGCTAAGCTGGAGATGTCTCCGACTGGAACAGGCATTAAAATCACTTTGAAATTTCTGATCCACCATGGTCTTCTGTTGTGCCAAAAAATTACTACAAAATTAGTGAGCTACACAAAATGCATCTATTAATTCTCTGTAGAATAAAAACCTGATCAGGGTCTCACTGAGCTAAGACAGCATGTCCTCAGGGCCACCCTCTGCTGGGCGCGGGGCTTGGAGAGCGCTCTTAACCCGAACCTTTCTCCATCTGCATGGCCAGCACTGTGGCCTCTCTCTGGAATCTCATTTTACTCAGACTCTTCTGTCTTCTTCTACTACTTTTGAGGATACTGGGAATACAGAATAATCTCTCATTTTAAGGTCAGCGATGAGTCACGTGCATTTCATCCACAGCCTTGATTCACAGGCTTGGGCAGGGGGACATGGACCCTTTTAGAGATCGTGGGTGCTGTATTCTACCTGTCACGGGAGGTCTGGGTAAGACTTGGCTGCCATCTGCATTTCTATCAGGTTCGGAGCTGAGGCTCAGTCGTCTGTTTCAAAATCATCACACGCCAAAAGCTTACATTTCATCTATGTAAAATTATCAGTGACATCACAACTCTGGCTATTCCTCTAGCAGGACATCACATTTTTCCCTTTTCCATAAACTCCAAAACCCAAAGAGTAATCAGGCACCAAAGAGCTTGGATTCTCTAGCACTACAAGTCCATGCGCTCCATTTCAATTGTCCTCTTCTCTGTCCTTACAGAGGTGAATATGCCCTGGCTGAATACACAGAAGTGAAAACTGTCACCATCAAGCTTGAGGACAAGAACCCCTGAAGGAAAGGGACCCTTCCCTCAAACATGGGACAGCCCCTTGGCAGGCCAAACGTGCCGAAGGGACTAACTATACTGACCTTCCTGGGACACTCTCTTCCAGACACTTTCAGTCTACTAGAGCTGAATGGTTTTGATTTTCATCTCACACTCCTGTTTTATTGACCTAACTCCGGATGCTCAAATGATGCATGTGAAACTGCAGTTCCACCTGGGAGGGAGCTACTGGCCATTTCTGATTCTGCCTTTAGATCTGGTGTGAGAGAGAGTGAAGATACTCAGGGTTCTGTTAACAAGAAATGGTATTTATGTGTCCAGCAGTGGCTTCAAGGTGCTCTGCTGAATCCAACTCCAGTGAGAATTTGGAACATGCTCCCTGCATGATCCGCAAGCCCTGCGCCTGGGGCCCCTCGTGGTCACCTGTGCACGCAGCTCCTCCTTGTTCTGAGGAAGGAGTAGGATCATTCCAAAGGAAGAGATTAGCACTCAGTTAAAAAGAGGATATGACATGGGAGGTTTGGGGGAACACATATCAGGCAAGGGTGTCAGAAGCCTTGGGCATGCAAGGTGTGGGCTTTGGAGGACAGCATATTGGCACTGACCATGGATTCACTTTGAAACCAGTACGACCTTTGGACTATGGCCAGATCGACATCCCAAAGAGCTTACCTAAAACTGTGCTAGTCTACCTTAACCAAGGTTCTTTCTAAGGCAGGAGACATTGTTAGTATCACCGTAGCTGCTGAAGGCCTAGCCTTCTGGCATCACAACAACAAAGCAAATCCTAAGATAACTAGCGTGCTGCATTTGGGAGATCAGAACCACAATTCACTTCTTCAAATTATGTATTTTACAATATTGCATAATGGTTTACAATAAGCCTATGTACTCTTCCTTTTCTCCAGTTCCATTATCCATGTTAAATTAGTAAAATGTGCACATCTGGAAAGACTGCTGTTCTAATTCCCCCCCTTTTAAAATTCTATTTTGTTATTGATTTCTGATTAGTTGACAAATAACTTCTGGAGTCCATGGAGGAACTGGATCTACACCCAGGTGACCCAAGCATTTTATTAGCAAGTTAAGAATTATTCTTTTCCTCTTTTGTGTACGCAAAATTATGTGCAATTCCATGTTTTAACTTGGAAAACTGAAATTATTCACATATAGCTTTAAAAACAAAACCAAACTTAAATCATCATGTTATTCAGGTACTTTTACTAAATACATACTTTCCAAATTGGAAAAATAGTGCTTACGTTTGAAGAATAAATTGGAGAGACAATAACACAAAGGTCCATGTCAGAACCAGTGTGTGTATAAAGAAAATTATGTGTGAATTAGGGTATCATCCTTGTCAGATATGAAATATGGGTCTCACCCTCTTTTTCACCACATTAACACTTATGACTCACACTACCAATAACTTGTTAAACAGAATTTGATTTCATACACTGAATTTCAGTATCCCAAGAAACTAGAGACACTAACCTTTATTGTAGTACCTTAGAGGGTTCCTATTCTTTCACTGTACAATAATGTCTTTAATTTGAAATGCTACATTATTTATAATTGGTAGAGTTCATGTGTCTTTTATAGCTGTAAGTACACAGAGGTGGTATATTTAACCTTCTGTAATATAATGTATTTAGAAATAAAAATCTATATAATGTTAGATTTCACTTCTTTTAAGGTTTACCCCTGTGGTATGGTTTTTTTAAAAAAGTATCAGACTGGGAATTCTGATCGCAACTGCAGATTGTGTTCAACAGCAATAAAATAAAATTGGACATTTGAGAAATGTTTTTTCACTGGCTTTGTTTTGTCACTGACCAAACCCATTTCAATTCCAAGGCAAGCTTTTCACTTTCTGAGACCTGCTGTACAATATGCCCTGTAATGAAGCAGTACCGATGCCATAAATCAAATTAGATTTCTTTGACCCATCACACCAAGTCCTTTGAATGTAAAACCCATTTTGGTGGTGTTTGGGTTTGACGAGTCAGAGGTCTTCTGTCCTATGGCCTGAGTTCAAGGTGTCATCTGAGCTGCCCAAGACTATTATAAACTGACAAGGATCCGAGTGCACAAAATAAGCATGAAGGGGAGACACTGCACCCCTAGCAGAGAGCACAAGTGCCACTTTCCTCTGTGGCAATCTAAGTGTTCGTGTTTAGTTAGAAGCCTCAGTTACCACCTGGCAGCTGATGTTGAGGTTGGATCAAAATAGGCATTTGCACGTCTATGGATGTGTTTGGGACCATCTGATTTCTCCATCTAACTGTGACCAGAAAAATCACAGGACAATGACATTTTGCTCTATTTGGTTTACCAGAACATGACTTCCTAAGGGGAACCACTCTGAGGATACCAGACACCACATGGAGAGAGAATGTGTGTGTGTGCCGCAATCCTGCACTCTGAGGTGGGCGCGTCCTCTCCAGCTGGCCCTCCGGAAGGACCTTACTTCTGCTGGTGGTTGAGGCCTTTCTAATGGTTTCACTCCTTGCTCCAAGCCGTGCAGCTGGGTCACGCTTGACAATGGATAACGGGGTGTTTACATTTTTCCCGGGAGGAATAGGGAGCAAGCTGAGAAGCCAGCTGAAGGAAGACAATCCAAAGTTCCACAAATTCACTGTGCCCACTGAAGGCAGAACTATTGTTTCAGGACTCCCCAATGGCCCCATACAGGAATCATTCCGACCTGAGGTTGCAAAACACCTGAGCAGAACGTGAGCCAAAGGAGGTGGGCCATCATGGGTCAGCAGGGGTGGACAAGAAGTGGAAAGGAATCTTCACCATCCTGTAACAACGTTCACACGCAAACTTGTGCCTGATACACACACTTAACAGAGCTAAATGCCGAGATAGAGACAGCTCAGAACAGCCCATCCGTGTGTCGAATGTTCCAGATGTTTTCCACGACGGGCGCATTTCCTAGCCAACTCCTTTAAACTAAGAAAGTCAAATCGCCCGGCTCTGCATGGGTTTCCCTGTCCCCTGGTGTGGGCCCCGGCACCCGGCGTGCGCTTCCCCCCGGGGGCGCTAGATGGCGGCACAGTGCGCCCTCCAGGCCGCACCGGTGGTCGCGGCTCGCTCACCACTGCAGACACCACGCCCTGCAAATTATTAGGGACTTTTCAGCGGCGCTCAAATTGCTGCCCTTGCAAACTGCCATGGGAACCTCAGCAGTGAGGGCAGGATTGCGCAACCGTGCCCACCATGGGTGGCAGGAGAGTCGGATAAGCAACCGCTTGGGACCACAGCAGAGCTGCCAGGTGCCCCCTTGTCAGCTAAGGACCAAAGAGAGGTCCCAAGTACCCACGGCCCGAGGTGTCCTCAGGGTCGTGTTGGGGCTCTGTGGCCACTCAGATGTTGTGAAATGGCGAGGTTATGGCGATGCCTTGCGCAAAGTCGTATTCGAGAGGTGACATTTCAGGAGAGGAGCCTAGGGTGCAGGTCCCGCGGGGCAGATCCTTCTTCTGCACAGGCCTCTTTCCTGGGTGGGCACGCCGGTCGCATGGGCGTGGATGTTTATGGACTGCGCTGCTTATTGTCTTAAGCGGTGCGGTCCACGTACTTTACGATAGATTGAAACGCGATAACTTCCCGACATTCACTCCACCTAGCAGGCAATTAAAAATCTTTTGCCAAGTCCAGCGTCGTGGCGCTGCTTGAATCCCAGCACTCTGCGAGGCTGAGGCAGAAGGATCGCTTAAACCCATGAGTTGGACCTGAGCAAGAGAGTTCGACCTTAGATCTCAAAAAATAAATTAAATATGTATACATATGTATGTATATACATATATATATGATTCTCAGATAGCAATATCTTTGTTTACATCTGTAATCAAATTAATAAGTTCGTGTGATAGAAAAGGTAGAGTTTGCAAAATATTAACTTCAATGATCCGTATATTTCTGTACCGCTCTTTAGAGAGCTGGACACAACATCCTCAGCATTGCTCCAGTACAACAGAAAGCTGGTGCCACATTTCACCGCTGTGCCTGCTCCAGGGGAGAAAGCTGGTCACCAAACCTCGAGGGGACGCGGCCCCACGAGGGCCTGAAGGTCCAGGAATCTGCAAGGGCACGAGGCTCTCGGCACCTCTTCGGACACGAGAAGTGACCTTGAGCATCTCCAAGGATTACCCCCTGGGGAAACTGAGGCAGGCCGGCGGGGGGTGGGTGGGGAGCTCTGGGCGTCCGCCCCGGGGACGGGGACCCTCCCCCCCGCGGCCCTGCCCTGCGCTCTGCGCGCCACCCGCCCGCGCTCCCTCCCGCGGCTCAGGATTGAGGAAGTGCAGGGCCGCCCGGGCGCGCGCCTGAGAGTGGGGCGCAGGCTGGAGCCCGGACCCCGCCGCCTCCGCAGCAGCAGCAGCGGCAGCCGCAGCAGCAGGAGCAGCAGGTGAGTGCAGCCCAGACCTGCCCGCCTCCCGAAGCCGGGCCGGACCGCGCCCCGACCGCCTGGCCCGGACCTCCTGGCCCGCGTGCAGCCCCGGTGCCACAGCCCTCGCGGCCGCATGCCCGGGCAGGGGTGGCCAGGACCGGGGCCCGCGGAGCTACGCTCAGGACGCCGGCGATCTCCTCCAGTCTCCACCCTGCTTCCTCTGGCCGCCCGGACTTGCGGGTTGATGGGGGTCCAAAAGGGAATCCTGAAACCCCGCCGCACGGGACAGGGCTGGATTGTAGGTTTGGAGTCGGGGAGCTGAGCCCAGAAACAAAAGTAGGAAGTCCCAGGAAGCTACAGGTTACTTTGGAGAAAATCAGCCCTTTAACCTGGAGCTTAGTAAGGGTGAGCAAGTGTGAGTGCCTGTGTGAGTGTTGGGGAGAGTGTGTGTGCATGTGTGTATGTGTTGGGGACCCTGTGTGTGTGTTTTGGGGAGGCCTTGCTCTGGAGTCTCTGGGCCAGAAGGCAGCCTGGGCACCGCATCCTCTTTAACATGTCAGATAAAAAAGGGCCAGTACTGCTGCTTACCCTCTCTGACAGGGAAGTGGGGGCGCTAGGGAGACTGGAAAGATAGTACAGGAGAATTTGGGGAACCCTAGGTGTAGCTCAGCATAGTTTGAGACCATGAGTGTTTCTCTTACAAACACATCCCCTTGCATAGAAAAGAGGACAGACGGGCTCTCATCAATCCTCTCACTAGGGACCTTCTTTTTCATAGTCACCCACATAATAACAAAGTACCCGCACACTGAAGGGACCTCCGCTGTGTGCGAGGTTTTGGAAAACCTTAACATGAAATGCTTTTTATACTCTGGTTTTCACTGTCTTTGCACATGTTCCTAAAGGAAAAAGAGAACCAACACCTGGTTTGTCCCTACAGGAGGTTTTGTGGCCAAACCCCTGCGCTTTCACATCTCAGAAGGCAGCCAGTAGTCAGCACCGTTGCTGGGATCACAGATCTAGATGTTATCCGGGCCTAGTTCCCGCTCTCTGAACCCACGCTGTTACCAAGTCTTGTTGAAACTACCCCAAACTGGGTCCCCTTCTTTCTCATGCGTTCGCCTTTGTCCACCTATTTCCTGCATATCTGGGTTCCCCTTCATCAGTCCTCTTCGTGGGACTCTTCAGTAGCTTCTCCTTGCTATTGGCATGAAACCCAGGAGAACCTCTTCCTTTCCTGTGCTGAGGAGCTCTGGCCTCTGTCACGTCCAGCCATCAGGCCTTTGGCTCCCAGCCACCCTGGCCAAGCCTACTCTGCAGCTCAGGGCCTCTGCATCACTGACCCACATCTCCGTGTGGCTTGCAAAGGGCTTCCCTGGCCACCTTCTCTCTCACGTCCCTTACTCTGCAGCCTTCTAGCAGTTCTACTGTCCATGTATTTCTTCTTTATCTGCTTAATTTCTGCTTAATTACCCCCACAGTCTTCCCTGGAGTTCTCAGGGGCAGTGTCTTGCTCACTGCAATGCCCTGGTGACCATAACCAGAGGTGCCCCGTGCAGAGGGGTAGATGCAGTGACTGCAGGTGACCAGATGGCCTTGACTTCCATGTGGCTTCAGTCTCTCGAGCCCTTCCGTTCCCCAGCCTTTCTGTGCTCACTTGGGATTGAGTGCTCAGCCCTGCAGCTCCATGATATTTGGATGTCTGCAAACCTGTTCAATACATCGGTAAGCAGCGGTATAGTCAGGAATTCAGACAGCATAGAGGGATGTCTGGGAGCACAGGCTGGACGTCTCAAGCCAGCCAGGCGGTAGGAGCATTTCTAACAGGCTTCCGTTTTGTACTGACTGACAGCCCTTCCCAAACTTCCTGAAAAAAGATTTTAGAGCAATTACTTATTTTATTGTCTGCCTTCCCTTCCAGTTTCATACAAGAAGTTTGCTCCTCCCCAAAAGGGCTCAGTGAAATATTTATTGAACGAATACCAGCTTCCTTGTTTTCTTTATCTCTGAGCATTTACGTGTGTTCGTTAACCTAGGCTGTAAAGAGTTGGCAAAGGACATGGGTAACCTTTTAAACATTATTAAAGTAATTATTACTGCGGAAAAATGTCTTCAATATGTAGGATGAATAGAAAACCATGTTTTCTAGTCCATGATTTGTTCCACTGGTCTAAATCCAAAAGAAGCTGGAGGGAACGAAGATCTGTTCGAGGGCAGAGGCTGAGCAAGACTTGAATTACCTCATCTGAAAGCTTCTACCTTAGGGTTTAAGCCAAAATACTAATTATAGTTTAAAAACTGCTCCAGCAGCAAAACCCTGCGTTAGTAGACTGATTTGCAAAAGGAAACTGAAAGGGGAACCAAGGGCCTGGGTAAGGATTAACCTAAAATATTTGAAAGTTTGGTTTTTT